CTGTCCAGGTGATTCCCCAGGGGGTGACAGCGCAGGGGCAGCAGCTAGGGTAGCGCTTTGAGGTGAGAGCTGCAGAAGAGGCGGAGCCAGGAGGGGTGGGGGCAGGGCAGCCCTGAGGAGGTGTTTTTGGGCTCAGACCTGAGTGACAGGCAGAGCCAGGCAGCTGCCACAGGGAGTGCAAAGGCCCTGGGGCAGGAGCACTGTGAGGTCATCAGGAGGCAGGTGAGCCCTGAGAGCACCCCTGAGGAATAGGATAGGGAGCCAGAGCACCCAGTGTTAGGTGAGGACCAGGGATTTCATCCAGGCCTCCAAGAGGATCTGATTTAGAATTTACAATGGAGTACGTGCCCAGCAGGTAGCCCTAGGCCTGGCCAGGCACCGCCAGTAAATACATAGGTGGCGCCTTGGCACATCTTGTGGGCGGATGCTGAACCTTCCTCATGGGATGCTGGTGCCTGGCCTGTGGCTGCCCCGGCTGCTACAGGTGCCCCTTGGCACGGTGTAAATGAACACTCTCTCCAGGCCCCTCCACGCCCCCCATCACTGATGGGCTGGGAGGGGTCACCTCAGCCACCTCCACATCTGGTCCCACTGATGGTGGGGCTGGCACAGGGACCTCGGGCAGAGAATAGCCGGGCTCCCTGGGAGGTGGCTGGGAGCAAGCCCAGGCCCTCAGGCGGGGGCGCCTCTGGTCTCCTGTGCTCTCTGTTGCTGTCGGCTCCCGCCTTGTCCCTGATGCCAATCCAGTAACGAGGACGAGATTTTGAGAGAAGGAAAAAGAAGGCTCATTGCTTTGCTACTGAAAGGAGAGACCCGGGACTCCTGTCCCTAAGGCTGGATTCCGCCATCAGCAGGAACAGGGGCTTTCACAGAGGTGACCCCCAGGACTGCATTCCAGGACCCCGTTGGGGTTGACATGCACTTGTTGACGTGGGAGAAGGTCATTTCTGAGACCTTCTGGGGGACTTGTTCCTGGGACGGGAAGAAAGGTACCCGCCCCCCGCCCCCCCCCCCCCCAGATTAGGGAGGGAGGCATTAGGAGGAGCAGGGAGAGCGGAGGAGGAAGAAACGTCCACCCTAGAGATCAGGCCAGGGCTGTGTCCATGGCATATGGTGGACATGGTTACATGTGGGTCCTGAGGTGGTATTCCTGTGAGTGATGGCCTTGTCCTGGCCACACAGCAGCCGGGACCCTAACCCCTTCAGGCTGGTGCCTGCTGGCTCCATCACACCTGTATTAAAAGACCCCCTAGATGGCATGAGCAAGTCCCGGAGGCCGGGCAGCCACTGGAGCTGCCTCTGCCGGCAACACCCCGGCCCTTCCCCCTCTGAGGCCGATCCCGGGGACTCATGTTGTGTGGGTGGCAGGCCCCAGGGTGCTCAGCAGGGTGTTGCTGGAGTAGTGAGGTGTCGCTCTCATGGGCTTGGGGAGCTCTCCTAGTGCCCCTGTATTTTGGGGGTGCTGGAGCCCAGGGCTGGCGCATGCTTAGCAAGCCCTCTGCCAGGGAGCCCCTACCAAGTTATGCCCTCCTCAGTTTCCTAGAACCCACCCACCCTCCCTCCACCTTCCCCTCCTCCACCTTCCCCCCAGGGAAGATCAGTTCCTCCCCACACCTTCTGAAAGCCCCCGGGCTCTGCCCGCCCTGAGCCAGGGTGGCACTTGGAGCGGGGCGGGCATCCCCTCACCACGGCCTCTGCGTACGCAGGCCCCTCCCCGAGTGACCCCTTGATGAAGGCATCACCTGAGCCTTGGATTGGCCCAGAGGCCTGTTCCCCAGCCCCTTCCTGTCAGCTGGGAACCTCTGCCTGCCCTGTCCCTGTCCCCCACCTGCTCAGTTTCAGTGCATGCTTCGTATGGTTAGGCCTGGTGTCCCCTTGGGGTCACCAGGTGGTGATGTCCTTTGGCTTCAGTGGTGTGGGAAGGAGCCCATAGTCCTCCAGGCGGAGGTGGGAGGCCAAGCCCCTGTCTGGGCCTCCTTGCTATGTGACCTCGGGCAGGTTCCTCAGCCCCTCTGGGTCTTTGTGTTCTCCATAAGGTGGGTGACACCAGGATTCTGGGAGGAGGAGGTGACAGCCTCCTCAGATGCCAAGTGCTGGCTCCTACTAGTCCTTTTTGCGGGAAGCAGGCTCCCTTGGGGAAATCCCCAAGGCTGTGGGTCGGCTTGGGTTTCCCGCAGAGCTGTGCTGTGGTTGGGGACCACCCTGACCGGGCCCTGGGCACACAGTCCACAGTCGGCCTGGCTGATGGTGGGCATGACCTCTGTGCCTGGAGAGGGTCGTGGGCGTGGCACCCTTGGGGCTGTCTTGGGGTCACTTATGCTGGGATACAGGCTCCCATGGGTGGCAGGGCTGCCCCGGCAAGGGTCCCTTGTGTGCCCTGAGAAGCGCACCCTGAAGTCCTTGACCCTCAGTGTGGTCTGAGGACCAGCAGTGGTCATATCCCCATCCTCCTGGGAATCTGCCTCTTCCCGGGGCTTGCAGGGGGCGGGACTGGTGCCCAGCAGTTTGCCCCCCCCCCCCACTTTTGCTGGGGGGGGGCAGCTGCCTGAAGGCTGGAGAGCAGAGCAGAGCTGGGCAGGTGCGGCTGGGTCCCCCCAGCCACAGGCCGAGGTTCTCCCTGCCTGGTCCTTCTAGAGGACGTGTGTGCACCCTGGACTTGAGTCGCAGCTCCCAAGTTTGGGTGCCCTTGGGATAGCCTGGGAATTGGAACCAATAAAGGTTGGTACCCAATGGGGACCCTGGTGCTCTTGGTGTGGGGTGTGCCCGGGCGGCCGACTTTGCAGCTTGCCCCTGTGTCCAGCAGTGCACGTCTGTGGTCCCATGGGGGCAATGATCAGCGTGGTTAGAGCCTCAGGCCCGGGGGCTAGAGCCAGCAGCGCCCACCTGCACCTGGTGGGTCCTGAGCAGTGCCCACCTGCACCTCACGGGGACTGTGGTGGGGCCTTCGGGGCCGCCTGGGTCCACGGGAGCGGGGAACAGGCCTCCAGGTGACTGCAAGGCCCAAGGCCCACGGTCACATCCTGGAGGGCATATCCTAAGGCCGGGGCTGCCTGGCCATTCTCCCTGTCAGCAGCTATGGCGACACAGGGTGGGGGGCGGCATGTGGACCTGCTGTGAGCCCTGGCCCTGCTGGTGGCCAGCTTAGTGCCCACCCTCCCGCTGCCTCAGTTTCCTCTTCTGTGAAATAGACTAACGTGGAGGAGTCCTGCTGGCCTCCAGTGGTCGGTGGCACACAGCAGGCCTGACAGGGGCCAGCAGAGCCTCCAGGGGTGGACGGCAGAGAGGGGTCACAGGAATGCCTCACGTCCTGGCCAGGGGTGGTGAGGGGAGACCCAGCTAGGGCTTGGGGACCGTGGGTCTCCCCTCACCACCCTGGGCCACCAGGTGAGACTCAGTTGGCTGTGCGGGGTGGACATCCGCTGTGTCAGGCCCATGGCTGAAGCCCTGAGGTGTCAGTGAGCCCCGTCGGTCAGGCCTAGGGGACAGTGGGCAGATGCATCAGGGCCACTGCCCCCACTGGGAGGGTCAGAGGGAAGAGCTTCTAGAGGGAGACACAGCTGAGGACGGCCTTGGAGTGGCCAGGCTTCCGGTGATGGGGCCCCTGGGTCTGGGTGCTGGGTGCAGGTGTTCAGGGAGCCAGACAGCAGAAGTGGCCCGTGAGGCGGCCTCCCCTCATTCTCCCTCCCTGGGTCCTGCCACCCCCTCTCCACCCCATTTACCCCCTGCCCACCTCAGGCACCCGTAGCCAGGGCATGTTGTGGAGTTACCAGGGCCACTGTCCTGGCCCCCACCTGCAGGGACAGCTGTAGCGGAGGTGCTGCCTGCTGGGCGTCGCCCTGGGAGCCTGTGCTGGCTCAAGGACACCTGGCAGCCTGCGAGTTGGCAGGCAGGGGCAGGCGCAAGGCCCAGGGTGGGCAGAGCTGCCGCCTCAGCGCCCACGGGCCTGGCACAGGTCAGGCCCTGCGGCCGTGCAGTGTCTACCTGGCCCTGTGCTGTCCCCACCTGGCGGAGCTCTGTTGGCGCGGCCTTGCCTGATGGATGCTCCTCCCCTGGGTCTCTCCCTGGTTGGGAACCCGGTGTGACGATGTGACGAGCCTGACGTCATGAGCCTGGGGCACACAGCCCTTTCCACTTGGCTCTTGGAGGGGGAGGGCCTGGCGAGGTGACTACCTGCAGGGAGTCCTCCGGTGACTGAGGAGAGCCAGGGTGGCCTTCAGGAACCAGCAGGGCGAGGGCAGCAGGCAGGGTGCGGGAGGAAGCCCTCAGTTCCTATCTGGAGGGCAGGTCAGCAGGCCAGCGCGAGTGACACCAAAGTTGAAAGCTGTAGTCCCCAGTGAGGAGGTCGGCCTCCCCAAGCTCCTTGGACCCGCCTTATGAAGCGGCCTGTTCCCTGACCCCTGACCCCATGCAGGAGGGAGCGCCGCAGCCCGGGCTCAGCGGCCACCTGCCTCACACAGGCCCAGGGCTTCGGGGGACTCTAGGGAAGGGGGTATCCCCCACCTTCCTGTGTTACAGACCTGGAGAACCGGGGTAGAGGTGGCCTGAGCTCCCTCCGGGCAGGGCTCAGTGTCGGGTGGGTCCCAGGTCTCCCTCAGGTGGGTGCCTCGTGCCCCCCCAACTCTGGATGCCAGATGCCATCCTTGGTGCTCCGTAAGGGGCCTCTGGCTCGGGCCTCCAGCCCCTGGTCAAGGCCCTCTTGTGTGCTTCTCACCATCAGGTAGAAACCAGAGCACAGAGAGGTCAATACTCTCACCGAGGGTCACACAGGCACTGGGCATAGGAGGCAGGGTGCCCCCTCCAGTGCTTCCCACACCCCCCTGCAGGGCCCTGAGCCTGGTCCTCCCTCCCCTGCATGCCAGTGGTGCCCAGCGGCCCCCCAGCCACTGCTGGCTATCTCCTTGCCCCTGTCCCTGCCCACTGCATAAAACCACCGGTGGGGCTCAGGTGTACAGGAGCACCTGCCTCATCCTGCTCTCCCACTCACCCTACCTGGGCCGCAGCAGCAGCAGCAGCAGCAGCAGCAGCAACAGCAGCAGCAGCAGCAGATGCCCCGCAGCAGCCAGGAGGAGAAGGAGGAGAAGGAGAAGGAGAAGGAGGCGGAGAAGGAGGAGGAGAAGCCGGACCTGGAGACTGACAGGGAGGAGCTGGTCAAGTAAGGCTCTAGGCCCTGTGCACTCGGGATCCTTGGGGAGGCGGCGGCTTTCCCCTTGCCCTCCTCCCCCGCCCACCCTCCTGTCCTCCACCTGCTCCCAGTCTCCTTGGGGGAAGGTCTGGGGAGCCGGGTTTGGGGGTGGCTGGTGTGCTCCCCTGGAGACAGCAGTGTCAGGCTGGGCTGCATCCAGGCATAGCCTGCCGGGCCTGACACCTCCCCACCTGCCAGGGGCGCAGGAAGTCAGCCAGCTGGCGAGGGGGCAGCCGGGCGCCAGGCACCAGGAGCGTGGCTTCAGGGAACATCTGGCTGGCCTCCCCTGCCTCCCACGCCACCCAGCCGGGCCGTCCAGGAAGACGAATGGCAGGCACGGTGGTCAACCTGCACAGTCACCTTCCTGAGCCAAACCCAAGGGCATCCAGCTCAGGTTGAGGCCCCTGCACCAGGCCAGGCCTGTGTAAAACCTGCAGGACCCCCCTGTCCCCTCAGTACAGGAGAGCGGGGTGCAATGGCTGGACAGTGCTCTTCCAGGTGGGCACCAGGCCATGTACCAAGAGCGCCGGTCCTGTGCCCAACTTGACCGCTGGGCAGTCCATGAGCGTGGGTGGCTCTAGCCCGCGACCTGCGCTGGGTTCATGAAAGAAGGTTCAAGTCGTGAGAAAACGAAAACGCTAGGGAGTTTTAAATTAAAGAGAGGAGACTCTAATTACCTTTAAGCCAGCTCCAGGACAGCTCCTCCCAGCTCCAGTCTCCAGCCACCTTATGTGGTAGCGAGGTTTACTGAGGAGGCCAGAGAGAGGAGAGAGAGCGCGCCAGGGAGTGGACTTTTATTGGGGAACAAAAAAATTCCAGGGAAAATCCCATCCAATGAAGGTTAAGGGGGGCAGCATCCCAAGGTCAGGGGTGCCGATTGGGTCTTCAGGGCAGTGGCCAGACACGCCTCTGCGCGGACAAGCCCTCGGACCTGAGAAGGGTGGGGCAAGCTCTGACCCAGCTGTGCCTAATCGCCTCTCGCCCAGCCAGGGAGGTCACTCAAATCACCTTCGGGGCTGGCCTCCCATAGGTGGCGCTGCAGACCCTGCCCCAGCCTCCCCCTCCACTGCCCGCAGAGAGTCCAGCCTCACTCCTGTTCTCCTCTTGGCCTTTAGGGAGAAGACCGAAGACACCTCTGGGGAGGACAACGATGAGAAGGAGGCCGTGGCCTCCAAAGGCCGCAAAACTGCCAACAGCCAGGGCCGCCGCAAAGGGCGCATCACCCGCTCAATGGCCAACGAGGCCAGCCACGAGGAGGCGGCCACCCCCCAGCAGAGCGCCGAGCTGGGTGAGGGCCGGGCGGTGGGTTTTGCCTGGGGTTTCTGTGCAGCATGAGTTCAGGTCCCAGCATTATCCGCTGGACTTGCTGTGTGACCTAGGGCAAGCTCCTCAGCCCCAGGGCCTCGTGTCCTCTGTGCCGCCTCTCACTTTGGGGCGAGGGTAACCGATGTGTCGGGTGGGCAGAGCGTGGAGGGTGCTGGGGTGCAGGCCTCGGGGTGTCCCCTGTGTGACGCTGGAGGACGGTTCCCTGGGTCAGCTCTGCCGTTTGGCCTGGTCCACATCCTGGCAGCAGCTGAAGGGTGACTAGTTGCTGCCCCTTTTGGGGCCTGGCCTTGACCCCTCCGCAGCCCGGCCTCCGCCCTGGCAGGCCCCTGAGCTCCCACATTCCCTCCTGAGCTAAAGGAAGGGCCCTCACTGCTCAGCAGGTGGCCAGAGACCAGGCCTGAGTGGCAGTTCCCAGGTCCGCCACAGGGGGCAGCAGGTGCGCGTCTGTCCCTTCGGTTCCCCTTTGGTGTTTGGGGCCAGCCCTGTGGGGACCAGGTGAAGCCCGGCCTCTGTCCAGGGCTCCTTCCTGGCGTGGGCCAGTGGGGAGAGGCTCAGCCTCCAGGCTGCCTGGAGTCTGCCCTACCAGGCTCTTCCGGGGGCTCCGGGAGGCTAGTTTGGTCCTGCTTTGTACAGGGGCTGTTCAAGGCTGGGTGGGCTCTGGCCTCTTGAAGTCACAGAGGTAGCTGGGGTCTGAGCTGAGCACACCAGCCGCAGGTCTACCTGCTTCCTGGATGTTTGCCCGCTGCCACCCTGTGTCGGTGTGCCTGGAGGCCCGTGGTGGAGGCTCACCTCCCTGGTCTCTGAGACAGCCTCCACTGGAGCCCAGTCCGGCTCAGGCCTGTCCGCCTGCCTCAGAGACCCTGGGCTCCAGGGAGGCTGCTGGGGTGGCCTCTCCAGATTGAGGTCCCTGGCCACATTACCCCTGCTGGGACTGGTCTCCTGTGCCAGCCTTTGTGGGCCACCTTCTGTTGCTGAGTCCATGGAGTGGGTGGTCCCTCAGGGCAGCTAGGAGGGACGGCTGGGCTCACGTCTCGGGGAGCAAGGAGGGGCTCAGAAAAGGCCACAACAGATGAGCGGCCACCTCTGCCCCAGCCCAAGGCGAAGTGTGTTCCTTCTCAGTGACGCCAGGGGCCGGGCTTGTCCTGGGAGAACATGACCACTCTCCAGGACCAGAGTCCTTGACCTGGGGTGGTCATGCCTGTGGGGACCTTAGGTCCCAGCGGGAGTGGGCTGTGGGCATCCTGAGGCCGGGCCTGGGAACAGCAGAGCCCAGGAGCAGGGCACAGTCCAGCCCGAGTGCAAGCCAGGCCCTGGGAGCTGCCACCTAGGCCCACCCTGTTCCCCTGCCTCAGGCCATCCCCAGGAGCCACCCTGTTCAGGCAGAGTACAGGCAGGGATGGCCAGCATAGCCAAGGCCACTCCAGTTTTCCCACCTGTGAAGGGAGTGGTTTCAGTTGTCCCAGTGTGGCACGCTGAGTGGAGGCTGTGAGTGGAGGTCTGTGGCTTGATTCAGCCCAGGTCTTGCCCTGTGTGTGGCTTGAGAGTCGGAAGCTGCAGCTGGTGCCGGCTGGGAAGGGCCACCTGAAATGCAGCTTCTCCAAGGGGGTCAGAGAAGGGAGGCGACCCTCAAGGCCCCTTCCTTCCCTGACTCAGAGGAGAGGGAGTCTAGGCTTCGGGAAGCAGGGCAGGGCCTCCCAGGCACCTGCTGACCGCTTTGCCTTCCTCCACAGCTTCTATGGAGATGAACGAGAGCTCACGCTGGACCGAGGAGGAGATGGAGACAGCCAAGAAAGGTGGGCTGCAGCCCTGGCACTTGGGGGGGGGGGGGCTTGGCGCCCGTGGCCTGGCCCAGGGCCAGGGTGGGGGCTGCTGCCCCTCCGAGCCCCTCATCGTCCAGAGAGAATGGGTCTGAGTGACTCCGTGTGACGTGGAGACCCAGCCAGGAGCACATGGCCAGCTGTGCCACGGGCAGCACTGCTTCTGTTATCTCTGTGGACAGGGCAGCGCAGACCTGGGCGATCCAGGGGGTCAGAGCTTGCTGGAGGCCACCAGGGTCATGGGCCAGTGACATTTACAGGGCTTTTGGTCTCCATGGGCATGGCCAGCTCCAGTGCGGAGCTCGGGAGACCCCTCCTGGGCGCACAGGTGCTCCCATCTGGAAATATGTGCCAGGGCCAGATGTCCCTGATCCCAAGGGCGAGTCCTGGAGAGGACGGGGCCACCTACATGTCAGGGACAGGTGGGGAACGCCCACACTGAAGAGCTGGAAATGGAACTGAGATTTGGCATCGCCAGGGGGTTGTGGTGCAGATGCCATCCCAGCTTGCTGGTGACCTGCGATGTGCAGGGGATGGATCTAGGTCGTCCAGCTCTTGGACCCAGTCCCCACCTGTGCAGCCCCCAGGGTAGGCTGGGTGGCAGGTGCTCACATCCCTGGTGCCGGTCCCATGGCCCTAGCCTGGCACTGAGCCCCACTCACAGGCTGTGGCTGGTCTCTGGGCTTTGACTTGTGCATCTGAGTGGGACTGGTGTCCGGGCTTCTGCCAGGGGGACGGGGGTCTGGGTGTAGGCGTCCAGGTGTCTGTGAATAGGAGAAGCATGCCGGTGTCGGTGGGTAACGGGGTGTCCTGGTGTCCAGATATAGGTGTCCTGGTGTCCGGGTGTAGGTGTCCTGGTGTCTGTGGGTGACGGGGGTGTCCTGGTGTCCTGGTGTCTGGGTGTAGGTGTCCTGGTGTCCATGTCCTGGTGTCCAGGTGTCTGTGGGTGACGGATGTCCAGGTGTAGGTGTCTGTGGGTGGGAGGGGTGTCCAGGCTGCTGGGCAGGTCTGTTGTCCTCCTTACTCCCTGCCCTTCCCCCTGCTCCCGGGTGCTGAGGTGGCTGGCAGTGCCCCATTCCCCACTTTGCCTGGTGGCTGTCATTTACCTGCCCCTGACCTGGAGGTGGCCCTGTCCCCGTCCCACATCATAAACAGGGACAGGAGCAGAGGCTAAGGGCTGCTCCGAGGCTTGGAGCTGGTGCTCGGGGATGGGCAGCCCTGGCTGCCGGCTCTTGTCCACAGGCTCTGCCAGGCTGGGGCTCTTGTCTGCAGGAGGTGCGGGTCTCGGCTCGCGGTGCAGCAGGTGGCCTCCTGGAGGGCTGGTGCCTGGGAGCGGCCTGGGTGCGGCTGTCTGGTCCCGCCCTCACCTAACACCTTGGCCCAGCTGCCGAGAGGCTGGGGCTGAAACTGCCCAGTGGGGCCACAGAGCTGAGAGGACCCTCCTGCCCCCACGCTCCTGGACCGCTGCCCTTCCCCTCGGGGGCCTTCTGGACACCGGCCCCTCTTCCCAGAGGTGGGCTCAGAGGAGAAACCCAGGACCCCTGGCCCTGCCCTGCGTCCTCTTGAGGATCGAGGTGCTGTCTGGGATGGCAGGGCTACTGTGTCGGTCTTTATGTCCACCTTGTGGCTCCCGTTGCACATCCTGAGCAGGCCGGTCCTTTGCACTGAGTTCTGGTGGGGGACACGTGCTCGTGGTAGTGTCTGGAATGAAGCCTGCGGTGGCTTTGAGCAAAGCCCTCCCCCAGTCCAGAGCCTTCTCTCTCCAGAGCAAGTCCCATGCCCATTAGCCGCCTGCACCGGCCACACCCCCGGGCTAATGGCTCTGGGCCCCTGGGACCCGCTGTTGAAAGCCTTGCTCCAGCCATGTCGGGGTCTTTGGTGTCCTCAGGTTCACTGCGAGGTGTCCGCGGGATGGGCCGCATGTGCTCATTCGATGGCTCCTCTGTGGGGGTGGGGGGCCGTCCCTGGCGGCTCCTGTGTTCTGGTGAAGGGCTCACGGCTACTGACCACAGGTGTGTCCTGGGATCTCCACCTGTTGGCCATGGGACTACCCCGGCTGCACGCGTGGGGGTCTCCACATGGATGGCCCACGGCCTCTTGGGTCCTATGTGCACGTCTCTGTCCTCACCGCAGCCCACCGCCGTTGCCTGGACACCGGGAGGTGGCCGCCTTCTGGTTCCCAGGAGGGCAGACCTGGAGGCGGGAGGGTGGCGGGGATGAGTCACCGCGAGGCCTGGGTGCCCCGGCTGTCTCAAGGTTGGGTCTGCAGCCTGGTGAGCTCATCCCGGGTCCTGCCTGCAGAGATGCAGCGAGGGCCCTGGGTCCCTGAGCGCGGGGCCTGCTCAGTGACATTTATGATAAAGCTGGAGCGCCAGTGTACCCAGCTGCCGGGAATCACAGCGATCTGCACGATCACGGCTGGGTGGCTGCTCACGGCCATCTGTTCCAAGTGGGGGTGGGGAGCCAGGTGCTGGCAGGGGTCCCTTCTCCACAGTGGGCATGTCCAGGAGCCCCGGCCTGGCCCTCAGAAACCCAGAGGGAGAAGGACCCAAGAGCCAGCTGTACCCAAGGCAGATGGCATCCACATGGAGCCAGGGCACTGGGGTGGAAGCCAGTCCCCACCCGTCAGGGAGCCCAGGAGCCCAGCAGCCGTGTGTCCCCAGGTTTGGGACCACAGAGCTGGCCAAAGCATCTGGAAAGATTTCTAGCCTGGACTCAGGGTGAGCAGCAGGAGAAGAGTCTCAGCCTCCACACCTCCAGGCTGTGTGACCTCGGCCCAGTCAGCCGACCTTTCTGTGCCTGTGATCTCGAACTTACAGGAGGCCAGAAGTCCAAGATCAAGTGTCAGAGGGCCTATTCCTGCTGGAGCCCCAGAGGGGCCTGCCTTATCTCTCCACCCTTGGGGTGACCGCTTCCTGTGGCACGTGCCTCTCCCGGTGGTGTCTCTGTGTCTGGGTGCCTCCCTGTAGGGACGACCTTGTCTTGGCCACCTTGGCAGAAGCCCCTTACCTGAATTGGGCTCACAGGTTCTGGGTGGGCAGGATGGGGATGTGCCAGCCCAGCATGGCTACCCCGGGGCTGGGGTGCTAGCCTAGGAGCTGGGGCAGGGGTGGCTTAGGCGCACCGAGGTCCCCGCCACTCGTGTCCTGGCCCGAGCCAAGTGCGCTCAGTCCTCTATATGCAGCAGGTGCTTGGGTGGCGCCCTTCTTGGGTCCGAGCTCCAGCTCCGCCCCTCTGGGTCTGGCCCTGACAGGGACCGCACCTTGGGGCAGCTGGGGCGAGCGCCTGCCCAGCAGGTGTTCGGGAACCGCTGAGGCGTCCAAGGCCAGGGAAGGCTCCCCAGGGAAGGCGCCAGGGCGGGCCCCACAGCCCCAGGTAGCGCTGCCCGGATGCTGGGCACTGGGGTTGGGGAGGTGCGTCTTCCCGCGGGCTTGGAGGTGGCTGCTGGGGGAGTTCCTTGACCTCTATCACAGCCGTGGAGTCCTGGGGCTGGGATTGGGACCAGGCCCTCTAAAGCATGGTTGGCCTGAGGACTGAGGACTCATCCAGTGCACTGTTACCAGGTAAGGAGAGAGGGAGGGTGGCCCAGCAGAGGGCCCGCCGTGTGCAGGTGAGGGCTGCGGAAGCCCGAGGAGGAGGTGCAAGGGCCACTGGTGGAGTTGGGCTGTTGTGAGAGCATGGGAGGCCCTGGGGGCCACGGTCACTGGTGTGTACAGGAGGTTAGGGCCACCTGCCCTGGGCCCAGTGCCACGCTGGGTGGGAGGAGCTGGCCCCTGCTGCTGGGATGCAGGACTCTGGTTCCCCTGAGAAAGCCAGCCTGGCCCAGAGTGTGGCCCTGTGGTGCTAGAGGCCCGGCCAGCCCGCTGCTCCTCCTATTGTGGAGGGTGGGGTGGGCTCCGCCCTTGCCCTGCCCTGCCCCTCCCTGGCCTCCAGGCAGTGGGAGGAGAGCCCGCTGGCCTCAGCCCTCCTGGGGGCTCTCATGGTGGACAGAGTTGAGGGGAGACTGAGGGGAGACGGGAGCTTGCGGATAGCCCTGGACCCGAGTCCTGCCCGGCCACCAGCACTGGGTCAGAGGCTCATGCTGTCCCTGAGGACAGGCCCCGCCAGGCTGATCTCCCGTGGCCTGGGCAGCTGGGGCTCGTGCCGTGGCTCACACGTGGGGGGCCAACGTGTCCATTCACACACAGGCCGACCGGCCTGGGGGGTGGGTGACCCAGGCCGATGGGCAGGGCTGGGGACCGAGGCACTGGGAGGGACCGATGCAGGTCAGCTGCTGGGCCGGAGCGTGTCAGCCTGGGCCACACCTGGGGACACTTGTCTGGGCTGAGGAGGAGTCGAGATCCTGCGGCCAGGCACCCTTGCTGTGCTGGGGTGGACGTGTCAGTGTCCAGGTCGGTCCCTGCGTGGCAGGGCCAGAGCTGTGCCCCTGTGCAGTGGTGACCGCATGCTGTGCGCCCTGGCCACTATGCTGTGATGCGGCAGAGCCCAAGCTGGGGCCTCGGAGGAGATGCCTAGCCCTGTGGCCTGGGTCCCCTGGGTCCCTTTCACTGTCTCCTGTCCTTGGAAGGGCAGCCTGGGGTTCTCCAGGCAGAGCCAGCGAGGTCGGGCCAGGAGGCCTCTTTGCATTTTAATGATTGTGTCCTTCCTGATGTCCTGGAAGGGGTGGCCTTGGGGACCCTGAGGCCAGAGAGGAGGGGGCAGGGCTCAGGCAGGCCAGAGGGGAGGTGGGCGGTAGGGTGGGGTGTGGACCTCAAGACTAGCAGAGGTGGGCCTGGGCCTGTTCTGGGTCCCAGGGGCTCTGTCCTGGGTCCCAGGGGCTCTGTCCTGGCTGGTGCTGCTGCCCCCCCCCCCCAGGTGGGGGTCTCCTCTAAGGCAGGGCTGCTGGGCTGGGGGTTTTGTTTTGCAGATGAGCTTCTCATGCAGGCCGGGGTGGGGTGGGGGTGGGGGTGGGGCCGTGCCCCTTCTGCCCTGCTGCCCCTCGGGGCTGGACTCTGGGGAGAGCCCTGGACTAGGGTCTGCGCTGGTTTCCAGGGGAGGCAGCTGGCCCCGGGGACACAGTGGGAGGGCCAGGTGGGGTTCCAGGCAGGACTGTGGAAGCCCCATTGGCCCAGGTTTGGGGAGGACCCAAGTAGGACTGTTGCAGGAGCATCAAGCCCTGGGGACCGCCTCACCGGGGTGGGCAGCGGTCGAGATTCTTGGAAGTCAGCTGGTCCCAGGCCCTAGGTGGGCGAGGAAGCTGTCCCTGTGGCCGGCCCCCCCCCCCCCCCCCCCACCGCTGTGGACCCCTGCAGAGGGGCGCCCCTCACCCGCACCCCGCCCCCTCACCTTCTCTTCAGGCCCCTGCTCACTTCCTGTCTGGGTGATTTCACTTCCTAGTTCCCAACTCTTCAAAGTGAAACTCCTTCCTTAGAAATTAGAAGTGGAGCTGGGGAATCCAGACCGCAGGGCCAGCTCGGCGTGCTACGGGGAGGAGTGGCTTCTACAGCGGGACCCTCCTGGTGCCCTGCCAGCCTAACTTCCCAGGCGAGGAGCAGAGGGCCCCCGGGGCGTCAGCTGCCCCAGGCTCAGGCTTGGGTGCCTGGCACCTTGTAGTTCTTTGCCTAGTGCCTCCTGCGCGCCCGATGCCCCCGGGGTAGACGAACAGCCACCGTGAGCATGGAACAGAAGAGCCCATTTCAGGGGGGAGAGATGCCACCAAGATACTACAACTGAGGGGGCCGTCCCCCTCGGTTCTGAGAGAATGCCGGTCCCCACCTCCAGCAGGTGTGAATGTCCCGGGACTGCTGGTAGTGCCCTGAGCCAAAGCCAAGGCCGGTGCCTGTCCTGCCTGTCCTGGGCCCTGGAGGCCTCTGGCCGCCCTCCCCAAAGTCTCCGGTCCTCATGGGAAGAATGACACGGTGGTGGCCTCCCAAGCCGAGCCCTCTGCTGCATGGTGTGGATGGTGTGGCTCAGCAGGATGGGCCTGGTCCCACTGGGACCTGCTGCTTGCCTCTGCCCTGGCTTCTGTGGCAGGGTGGCACGGCTGAGGCGAGGGAGCAGGGCAGGTCGATGACCGAGGCACAGAGGTGGCGCTGACCTGGATCTCACTCCAAAGTTCAGCTCAGTTGCCGTTCAGCCTCCCGGAGCCACCTGGGGCTGTTCAGCAGGTGTCCCCGTGCATGGGCAGTCCTCCAGGTCTCAGAGGACTGGAGAGGCAGCTGTGGCCCTAGACCCTTGGGCAGCAGGGCCCGTAGGGGACCCCAGACCTGCCCCACCCCAAACAGCTAGAGGCTCCTCAAACCCCGAGCTTCCTCCTGGAACACAAAGCCATCCCCTGCCCACTGGTTGCCCCCTTCGGAGGGCCTGAGTGGCCCAGTAGCAGGGCAGGTGGGGGGCAGACAGCAGGTGGAACTGGCAGGGGAGGGGCAGCAGGAGACGCGAGTGCTCCCAGTCTGCAGGGGAGAGCGCTGCCTCTCTGGAGCCCTGTCTGTTCTCACTGTGGCTGACGCCAGGACGGGGAGAGGAGGGGCCGTGCCAAGTGGGCCCGCCCCTCCTGGGCCTGGACCTCTGCCACGCACCCCCGCCCGCCGCCCGCCCGCCAGCCTTGTCTGGAGGTCACATTCAGTCCTGACGCGGCTCGCTGGGTCAGGCAGCAGGAGGAGCAGAGGGAGCAGGCAGCAGGCTGCTCAGGGTGGAGGTTTTCTCCAGCTTGGGTGTCGGGGACTTCTGACTAGTGTCCCTGGCTGTGTCCTCCCGGGGCATGTGGGTGCCTAGAGGAGCAGTGGACACTGCACCCTGGTGACGCCTGGCACAGGGGCGCCCTGCACGCACAAGTGACGGCACCTTGCCCCCCTCCCCCGCAGAGAAGGCGCTCTCAGCTCCTCATTGTCAGAGGTGGCCGCTCCCTGGGAGCCCTGGGCCACCAGGCGCTGGGCTGAGCTGCTGCCGCCCGCCCTCCGAGCGGCCTCCGCCCGCCCACCCCTCCCCTCCTGGCCGCCGAGGCTGAGCCGTGAGGAGCAGAGCAGCCGCAGCTCCGTGGCCGCCAGCTCCCAGCCCCGCTCCCTGGAGCATCCTCCCAGCCGGATGTTTCCGGAAAACTTGGCCGAGGGGGAGACGCGGATAAGAGGATGTGAGTGAGTGGCCCCGGGGAGGGGCAGGGAACTGCGGGTGCCCGGGGACAAGGACCTTGATGAGGCTCTCAGGAGAGGGCAGCTGGGCAACTGGGGGTGGCAGGAGGACATGGAGCCTCGTCCAGCGGGGACCCCTGGAGGGAGGGGCTCCTGGGTCTGCAGGGAGGGCTGGCTTCTGTTGCCGGGCATGCTCTGCGGATGTCCCCAGGTACTCGGGCTGGCTCTGTGGCGGGAGCCTGAGGCGCTGCCCTCTGTGCTTGGACATCAGCTGGGGCCCCAAGCAAGCCCCAGGAAGTCCATGCCCCAGAGGCCCTGGCCAGTCCTCCCCACAGAGGCACAGGGGCGCAGGCCCGTCCAGGGTCTGGGGCACCAGGTCTCAGGGAGGCAGCCCCTGGTGCCCCCACCCATTGGGGGAGTGCGTGGAGCAGCTCCGGCCACCTCCTTATTCATTTGTGGAGTTTAGAAATGTCAGCCTCCCTGGGGTCTCCCCGCCCACCGGCCCATCCCTGCAGGCCCAGATGGGAGACCTGCCCCCGCCCCCGGGTTCCAGGCCCACGGTCCTCCTTGGCCGGCCTGTTTGCCTGGACTCCGGCTCCAGCTGGGAAGTATAAATAAACGCAAGTCCGTCCGCTGGTTCTGGGGCCGCAGCTGCTGCTGGCGCGGGCAGCAGGAAAGGTCAGGGGCTGAGTTACACTTGATCCCACGCCCCGGCCCCCCCGCCTGTCCTTGAGGAACCCTGAGGAGCTGGTGTGGGCCACGTGGCTGCTGTGGCCGCTGCAGGCAAGCAGGTGGCCTGTCCAGCGCCACCCCCACCCACAGGCCCAGAGGCCAGCAGAGCAGGAAGCGGGCCCCACACCTCCTCTGCCCTGTGGCCTGTGCCGTGAGCTTGGTGAGGTGGCTGACCCCCTGAGCCCCAGCTCTCCGTCCTGGGGGTGGGAACATGGCCACAGCCTGGACAGGAAGCAGGGGACTCACCAAGTCCCTGGAGGGCTTGGTCACAGAAGGCCCACTCGGCCCCCAGGGGTGGTCGGTTGGGTTTGTGCTGCCGCCGTGTGGAGCGCGGTGGTTGTGGGCCAGACGGGCTCAGGCCTGAAGGAATGATCGGGTGGGAGGTGGAGGGAACCCTGGCCCCGCCCCTGAAGGGCAGCTTGAATGACTGGAGCCAGGCCGCCTAAAGCTTGCCTGCAGGGTCTCCTGTCATAGTCCTGACCCGTGTGGCCCTGGGGCTCAGAGACCCCCTTCCATCTCGTCAGCCCTGGGAAGGTGGCCAGCCTTAGCTGCAGGGCCGCTTGGGCCAGGGCGGTCACCCTGCTGGCGTCGGAGCAGGAACACGGGTTGGGCAGGTGGGCGGCCAGGCCTCTGAGTGCAGATTCCGTGTTTCTGCTGAGGTTGAGGTTGGTAGCCTCCAGGGCAGGAGGGGCAGGTGCAGCGGTGGCCCAAACTAGGGAGAGCAGGGACTGCTGTGGCGGCCTTCCTCACACCAGGTGGTCTGGGAGGCTGGGGGACGCTCTGGGCACTAGGCGCCTGCGGGCAGATCCACTCCCGCTGCTGACCAAGCCAGGTGGGCCTCGTGGCCAGTGGGCCTCTGGGTGACCCCTTAGCCTGGGTGCATCCCGGCCCTCGCCCTCCCCTTCCCGCTCGCCCGTGGTGTGGCCGGAAGGCAGTCCCGTCTCCCGGGGCCTCGGCAGCTGGCCCGCAGGCAGCTGGGGCGGGGGGGCAGCCCCCAGATCCTGAAGGGGGCCCCTGGCCCTATGCCTTCCGCTGTCACCCTGTTCCTTGAGCCCAGGCTGTCCCCAGCCTCACCCACGCCTCTGCCTGCAGGTCTCCTGGAACATGGCCGGAACTGGTCGGCCATCGCCCGGATGGTGGGCTCCAAGACGGTGTCGCAGTGTAAGAACTTTTACTTCAACTACAAGAAGCGGCAGAACCTGGACGAGATCCTGCAGCAGCACAAGCTGAAGATGGTGAGTACGCGGCCAGGGGCGGCCCTCGCCTGCCCACAGGCTGCTCCCAGCCTGGTCCCAGCTCGCTCCCAACAAGGGAAGGAGCCACACGGGTCTGCGCTGACTCAGCCAGGAAACCGCGGCCTCAGAGCCTCGAAAGAAGGCCCAGGAGCCCATCAGTGGCCGCTGCCCTCGGTCAGTGCCTCAGTGGGAGGGAGCTGGGCTGGGGGCCTCGAGGGCTGGAGGCCCAGATGGCCTCCCAGGGCCCAGACTCCCTGAACAACTGTTTCTGGGAGTTGAGGACCATGTGGGGAGGCCACGTTGTCTGCCCCTCCTCCTGCCCACTCCCTCCCTCTTCATCTCCCTTGGATACATTTGATGAGCATTTTCACGATTTTAAAGCTGGGAACAAGCTCAGCCAGGCTGCCGGCCAATAAGTTGGGGTGTGAGCCCCAGGTGAGAAGCACTCCCCACCCGCCTCCCCGCGGATCTGCTGTGGCTCTGAAGGCTGGAAAGGCGCCCCCCACCTGGCTGGACTGAGGTGGTGCAGCACATTCTGGGCAGCTGGTGTGCTAAGTGCAACCTGCTGAGGCCCAGAGAGGGTGTGCACGTCACACAGCACATGGAGGCCGGCCCGGGGTAGCATCACCCATTAGAACTGTCCTCAAGCCCCACTCACTGAGAATTTGAGGGCCCCATTCCAGCCCTCCTGGGGGGTTCTTTCTGAACCACGTGTGCTGTTGGCTCCAGGCCAAGGGGAAGCCGTCCCATGTCCCTGGCACTCCACTCAGGCAGGGCTCCCTGCCCTTGCCCTCCAGATGGGGTCTTAAGTGGTGCCTCGGGAGTGGGCTTCGGACAGGGCCCCTTGTCTCCTGGGTCCGCAGGGACTTCAGGGCAGACGGCTGACGAGGCGGGGCGTGACCTGGCCATGTCTGTGTACCAGGTCAGGAGTTGGAGGTGGTCAGCACAGGACAGCCCAGGGGAGAGGGTGGCCTGGAGCCCCTCCTGGAAGCAGCGTCCTCCTGCCCCCGCCCATTCTCCTGTCCTCCCTCCCCGCGTCCCGGCCTCCACAGCTCCTGCCTGCCCCACCTCGGGGCTCTGGAACCCTGCCACTGGGCTGTCCCCAGCCTGGCCTCCCCCTCCAGCCCTCCTCAGCGGCCTCCCCTTCATCCCCATGGACCCCTGGACCTGGGGACTTGGGGTCCAGGGCCTGAGGCTCCCTCGGGTGAGTGCCCGCCTGCCTGTCTTGCGCTGCGAGCCCTGGGCTGGCCTCAGTCTCTTCCTGTGAGGTGCTGCCCTCAGGGGCGCTGCTGCCCTCGGCTCGGGTGGGGAGGACCCGGTCCGTCCCTAGGAGGCACTCCGGGTGACTGCCCGCTTCCAGCTCCTCCTGTTCCGTGGGTGTTGTGCAGCAGTGGCCACGAGGGTGTGGGTGGACAGATGGCAGGAACTCCAGGCCAAGAAGGCCCAGGCACGGGCCCTGCTGCTCAGGGTCTCTGTGGCCTCCACCAGGTGACTTACCCTCTCTGTGCCTCTGCCTCTCCACCTGTGACGGGGACCACGCAGCACCTGCCTCCCGGGCTGTGAAACAACAGCTTTGGGTTAACGCCTGTGGGTACTGGAGGGGGCCGGCAGGTCACTAGCGCCCTGCCCTAGTGACGTCTGCAGGGGTGCTACGTGGAGCCGTGCACATGCCGTGACAGCCGGCGTGTGGTCTGGAGGCCCGTGGCTCGGGTGCGTGGCCTCACTCTGGGCCTCAGTTCCTGTCTGAGAGACGGGAGGAGAGGACCCAGGGCACTGGGTGAGCACTGTTCATGCCATGGACCCCTCCTGAGCGCCTGCTGTATGCCACAGAAGCGACAGCAGGTCTCCTAGGGACAGGCGCTTGGTGGGGTTTTCCTACTGGGTGTGGGGAGCCATTGATGATTCTTGAGCTGAGCAGCAGCCCACCCAGGGCTGGACTCAAGGTGGACTGTCCCGGAGCTGGATCAGAAAGGGCCCTCTGTGTCCCCCTCTTGGAATGTGCAGGATGTTGGGCCCATCACCTCCGGCCTGTGGAGGAGGCATGGCCAAGGGGAACCCTGTCCTGACAGGACCGTGACTTAGGAGTGTGGGAGGGTCCTCTCACCCAGCTGGCCTTGAAGGAGCCTGGTGAACAGGGGAATCAGAGGCACAGAGTTGAGGGAGGCCCAGAGCCCGCAGTTCTGTCCCGACTGGCGGCCCTTGGGCCGGGTGACTGCCCTGTGGCCCCTCAGACGCCCCTGAAATCAGCACCCCTGCCCCTGCACCCTCTAGCCCTGGGGAAGAGGCAGGTCTCCGGGTGGCTCGTCACCCTCGGCCAGCAGGGAGTCGGCGGGCACCCCCACCTGGCCCCAGGCCTGGCCTGGATGTGGCCGCCACAGGGTCAGCAGGAAGCAGGGCTGGGAGGGCAGCAGGCGTGTGGCTCCTATGTCCGGAGAGGCTGCCCTCCCCTCCCCATGGCCGAAGGTTGCCCTCTTCTCCCATCTGGGTCCAGGCCCCAGGGCTCAGCTTCCAGGACTCCCAGGCCCAGCCAGGCCTCGCCTGTGGTCTGTCATGGGCTGCACAGACCAGGTCCAGGCAGAGGCGGTATGAACTGACCTCACCTGGGAGCTGTGTGGTGTCGGGCAGGTGTCTTTGCTTCTCTGAGTCGCGTCCTCATCTGTTGGCCGTTGTGGTTGCCTGTTCTGTCCAGGCGCTGTCCCTGGTATGGGAGGAAGGGAGCTGAAGACAAGCCGTGCCGTGTCCTGGGGGAGAAGTAGCCCTAGAGACCAGAGCACAGGGGTCCTCTCAGGATGTGTGGAGGTGGGGGATGGGTGGACAATGACAGGTTTGGGATGGGGCGGCCACTCAGTGTGACAGGGAGGGCCTCTGAGGCCTGTTAGGGTAGGGAGACGTGAGCCCTGTGGCTGTCTGGGAACGGCCGTGCCAAGGCCCTCGCCCAGGCCCTTCCAGGTGGGCACGTCATGCGTCCAGCAGTGCCCGGGGGTGGGAGAGGTGGTGGGGACTGGACACAGTTGGGCTGGAGGGTTGGAAGTGGGACACCAGCTCTGCGAGGACTGTGGGTCCAGCGAGTTGGCACCTGGGATGTGCCTGCTGCACACAGTAGGCTCCGCCTGGGGTGCAGAGGTGGTGGCAGGCCGCCCGCCACCCCTGTGCTGTCCCGCCTCAGGAAGCTGCGGTGCTGCCGCAGGAGGGCCACCCAGGCCAGCCTCTGGGGCCCTCAGGGCGTCCACCTAACCACCTGTGTCCAGGGCTCAGTGACCTCCCTAGAGAGGGTCTTCTGTCTCCAGGACACTGTACCGGCCCGGTGAACCGTTCCTGCCAGGCCGCGGCGTGCCCTGTGCCCACGCTGCCTGGGCAGCGGTCGCCCACATCACCCAGTGCATCGCAGCGCGTGCCTGAGTCCCTGTCGGCTAGAAATAGAACGGGGAAGCCGGGGGGACCTGGGGCCTCGCCACCACAGAACTGCAGGCCACGACTCTTGTGCCTCCGGGCTCGCGCCAGGAGCCCTCCCAGGAAGGGCTCGGGGAGGGAGGGCTGAGGCTGCACTGGGGGCCTGCGTGGGCAGCAGAACTGGGCATCCCTGTAATGGGGCTGTGGACGTTGGGCAGGGTGGGGCTGTGGCCCTCTGGCCAAGCGTTGGTGACGGAAACTCTGACTAAACGGCAGGCAAACGCTTCCCCTTCCCTCTGGCCCTCCCAGTGGCCACACTGGGACCTTGTCCACTCAGGAAGGGGACAAGACAGGAAGGGGTCCCACCCCAGGCTGCAGCTGTCCCCGGGGACATCTGGAGCCTGACCCCTGCTCCCCTGAGTTCTGCCTCCAGCCTGGCCGGGCATCAGCTCCGGGGGCAGGTGCTGCCTTTCTGCGTAGGGTGGTCTTAGGCATTTCGTAGCTTCTGTCCTCTTTCCCGGAGACCCCGGAGTGCTCAGGCTGCGTCCCTCCTGTCATTGCAGGCTGGGGACACAGGCCGCTCCCTGCAGTCCCTGGCCCCTGGCCCCCAGGCCCTCTCCACACATGCCCCGAGCTGATGGCTGCCTGGAAGCTAGTGAGTCACAGGGCAGGTGCCTCCTGGTCTCGGCCTGGCTTGGTGAGGGGAGATGTCCCTCTGGGAGAGGAACAAGGACAGGAGCTGTCCCCAAGCATGCCAGGAGGTTGAGGGCTTGGCTCCGTGTGAGGGAGGAGGCGGGGGGGGGGCATGGAGCGTGGTACGGCCAGCGGGAGGCTTCACCACATGTGCTTCTTTCTGTTCCTCGAATGCGCCCATATGTGGCACCACAGGGCCTTTGCATGTGCAGTGCCCTCCCCGGGCTGCTCTCTCAGAGCTGTTCCCGGCCAGTTCTCTCTCCACTCAGGTCTTGATTCTTGTGCCAGCTCCCCGCAGTTTCCCTCCCTGACCGTCCTCTCTCAGGCAGCCCTCGGGCCCACACCCTGTGCCCCATTCCTGAGTGGGTGAGGACCTAGAGGACACAGCCCTGACCCTCCCAGGGCCCTGCCGGCACCTGCGTCTTCCGGGGCTTTTGCCTGAGGGCAGCGGCCTTTCCTGCCTCACGCCCTGTGTCCCGTGGCCCCTTTGCAGGCCTGTCCCGTGCTAGCCTGGCCTGGGCCAGCTGCCCACCGACCAGTGGGCCCACAGGGAGCCCCGGGGCTGTGGTCTCTGTGCTGCGGGTCCTCCAGGTCCTCACCCACTCAGGAAGGGCAGTGTGGCTGGGGCCGTGCCGGGGTCGTGCCAAGGACATGGTGGACGAATGAAGCCCTGGTAGAATGTGGCCCTGAGTGGAAGGTGGGGGAGGTGGCCCTGCTCCTATCCCTTGCAAGAAAAAGCTGCAGCCAGGTCCTAGGCCTGGGGAGGCCCCGGGCGGCCAGCCCTGGCTGTGGCCCTGAGCCCTGCTGTCCGGTGCCCCAGGAGAAGGAGAGGAATGCCCGGAGGAAGAAGAAGAAAGCCCCGGCCGCTGCCAGCGAGGAGGCGGCCTTCCCGCCCGTGGTGGAGGATGAGGAGATGGAGGCCTCGGGCGTCAGCGGGAACGAGGAGGAGATGGCTGAGGAGGCTGAAGGTGAGTTGGCGCGGCAGCCCAGGGCAGTGGCTGTGAGTGGCCGTGACAGCTCCTCCGTGCCTATACCTGGTGACGTCCCCCTGGGCCAGCAGAGGACACCCCGCACTCGGGACCGTGCTACCCGCCACCTGTCCGGTGCTACCTGCCACCTGTCCCGTGCCACCTCTTGGCAGTGGATTTACTTTCTGAGGTGGTTTCTGGGGGGAGCTGGGTCTAGTCAGCGGCTTTAGTGGACACGGATCCCGGAGCTGCGCTGCCTGCGCCTCTGTCTATTCCCGAGTCCAGACTCGGGTGGGCAATGATGGCGCCGCTTCCTGCCGTGGGACCGAGGTGCAGGCAGCTCAGGGCCCCAGGTCACACCTGCACCCAGCCAGCTGTCCTAGTGGAGTCCTCACGGGCTTGGCAGGGAGCATAGGGACAGAGTAAGGTGACAGTGTAGGCCACCAGGCAACCTTTGGCACTCAGAAGGTGGGATTTGGTCACAGGAGATTGTCACACCCCCTCAGTGGCAGAGATGGGCCCTATAAGACGCGCTCTGGCTCCTGGTGTCTGTAGACCCTGACACCTGACCCCATGCCCCCAGTGACAGCCTTGTCCACCTCGACCCCCACCCTGCCCCCTTTTTCCCTGTCGGAGCTGATGGCAGCCCTGTCCCCACCCGCCCCTAGAGCACCTCTGAGGACCTGCTGCTTAGCCGGGCCCCCTGCCCAGTCCCCTGACCACAGCACCCCGCCAGCCCTCAGAGCCCTGCTCCTCCTGCCACCTGTCGGGGGCTCCCTGTTGCTCTCTGTCCCCATGTTTAGTCTCCCGGGCTCCAGGAGCCTGGGGAAGGAAGGCACCAGCCCGGCCTCAGGTGGGCTGCACTCTGCCCCAGGTGTCCGCTTCCAGGTGGAACAGGGTCATCAGGTCCTCCGGCTGCTTGGGTCCAAGTCTGGGGCGGGGCGGGGACAGGTCTGGCTGCCTCCCTGCTATGGGTCGCTCCCCAGGGCAGCCAGGAGTGCTAGCCAGGCCCTCGGGGCATCCTCCTCCTCTGTCCCCTCCTGCTTTCCCTGTGGGCAGGCTGGGCTGGTGGAGGGGAGCCAGGCCCCGCCGTGTCGGCCAGGAGCTGGGGTGGCAGAGCTCACATGGGGTCGGGGCAGGACCCGTCTGCCAGGGTTGAGGCTCCTGTGTCACCTCGGAGCCCCCACAGCTGCAGCCTGGCACCCAGCTGGTCAGGGCTGAGGAGGGCCGGGTGGGGGCCGGGCTGCCCCGCAGAGTCTCCCAGAAGACCCAGCCAGCACCAGCAGCACTGTGCAGCCCTGGCGGGGTGGGGGCTCCCCCAGGACCTGTGCTGTGCTCCCTGCCAGGCAGTCTTGAGCTGGTCCCCCCTTGTCACACAGCCTGGAGGAGGAGGTGGCTCATCCCGGGTATGGATGAGGAGGCCGAGGCTCTCCCCAGGCAGCAGTGCCCCTGGACACTTGCTAGAGGTGCTGGTTCTCAGCCCCTCGCTGCACCTGCTGGATGCTTGCTGTGCTGTCCCCTTTGAGGGCCTCTGGTGAAGGCCTCTTCAGAGCAACGGGGAACAAACTACGATTCAGAGGGTTAGACGCTGGTCTATGGGGTATGGTCAACTCCTGTGCTCTGTTGTCCCACTGTGAAGGGGAGTCACCACACAGGGAAGGAAGTCCAGTGGTCAGGGACACTGGCTGCCAGGTTCAACACCCTGTGTCCTTGCTTTGTGGCCTTGAGCAACTCGCTCAGCCACTCTGTGCCCCAGTCTCCTCATCTTGATGGAGGGCTCGCCGTCCTTCCTGGGGGCTGTCGAGCTCAGTTGTCATGTGTGACAGGCTTTGCATGCAGCTTAGCGTGGTCGCGCGTCTATGTCAACTGGTGTCATTTCTGGAAGGGGAGGTGGCCCTTCTCTAGGCCCTGGAGGGAGGAGAGAAGCAGGAAGTGCCGAGGGACAGTGGGGGCAGAGGAGGCTGAAGGGAGATTGCTTGTGGACCCTAGCAGTCCCTGCAGGCCTGTCCCTCCAAACCCCACCCTGGGGTCCTGGGAACCTGGACCCATGGAAGGCCTCTCAGAGGGGCCAGACCTTGCTGCCCATCCTGTGTGGCCCTGTTACTGCCCAGCCATGGACAGGCCTGGACCTGCCTGCCTGGGGTTGCTGCAGGTCCTGTAGCTGCTGGTGACTAGCACCGCGGGGGACATGTTGGTCATGGGTCAGGGCTGTGGGGCGCGGTGGGCACCTGGCTTCTGACCGTCTTGACTTCCTTCCAGCTGTCCACGCCTCTGGGAACGAGGTGCCCAGAGGGGAATGCAGTGGCCCAGGTAGGAATGTGGCGGGCTGGCCCCACGGGGCAGGGCTCAGGTGGGAGGGAGGCCCGTAATCACCTGTCCTCTGCAGGAGGCCCCCTGGGACCCCACTGTGCCTGGGAGCGCTGCTGTTGTGGGCCGCCACCCCGAGCCCCTGCCTGCCCCTGTTCCCTGCTGTCCCCGGCCTGCTCCTGCCCATCCTGCCTGGGGAGGAACCTTCCCACCTTCCCTGAATTGGCCCTGGGGACCCGCCTGGCCTGCTCTCCTGACCTGCTTGGCTACAGAAAATGGGGGATATTGAGACCCAAAGATGGGGTGGTGGTGTCCAGTCCCCAGCCTTCTCTGCCCTTGTGGTGTGCCCACCACCTCCTCATGCACCTGACCCCTGCACGTTGCCAGGTGTTGGTGGGTGCCTGGTGGCCGTGGTCCTCCGCAGGCAGTCCCCTGCACTGCCCCTTGCTGGCTTGTCCACCTGTGGGCCAGGCGCTATTCTCGAGAGGTGCCCCTGTCCCTCCCCCTCCTAGGGTGCCAGCCAGTGGGGGCAGAGCCACACTGGGGCTCGGGTGGGGCCTGGAGGCCTTTCAGAACCGGGCCTGACTCCTGGCCCCAGGCCCAGTCCCCCTGCTCATCCCTCTCTATTCCGTGTAGCTGCCGTCAACAACAGCTCTGACACGGAGAGCATCCCCTCCCCCCGCACCGAGGCCACCAAGGATGCCGGGCAGAGTGGGCCCCAGCCCCCGCCGGCCCTGGGTGCTGCTGGGACCCCCGCTGAGCCGCCCACCCCTCCGCCTGAGGACGCCCCGGCCCCTGCCCAGCCCACCCCAGCTGCAGATGCCAGTGGCCCCCCCACGCCCCCACCTGCTCCCGCGTCACCTGCGGTGCCCCCTCCTGCGGCCCCCAAGGAGGAGAAGGAGGAGGAGGCCACCGTGGCACCCCCAGCAGAAGAGAGGGAGGAACAGAAGCCCCCCGTGGCTGAGGAGCCTGAGGGGGACGCGGGGAAGATGGAAGAGTCTGTCTCAGTCCCCGAGGAGCCCGTGCAGGGTGACTGCAAGGAGGAGGCCGAGGAGGAAGACCCGGACAAGGCCAGGGCTGGGGAGGCCAGCACGGAGGCCGCACCCGAGGGGCCTCTCAAGGTGGAGAAGAAGGAGGGCGGGAGCCGCAGAACCCCTGCCAAGGCCTCGGGCGCCCCCCAGGACAGTGACTCCAGTGCCACCTGCAGTGCCGACGAGGTGGACGAGCCTGAGGGAGGGGACAAGAGCCGGTGAGTAGCCCGGGCGGCCCCCTCGAAGGCTTCCGAGCTCCGTGGGTTCAGGCCAGCCCTGCCTGTCCCCAGCACCTGTGGCCATGGAGGGAGGGGTGTGGGCTCGAGTGGGACCTGGAAAGCAAGAGCCCTGGGGGCTGCGGGGAGCGCTGGCCCCGCAGCTCTGAGGAGCAGGTGGGAGGAGCCCTGCGGTCACCTGTCCTCTGCAGGAGGCCCCCTGGGACCCTCCTGTGCCTAGGGAGCACTGCTGTGCCCAGGTGCGCACAGGACCTGCTACTCTGACAGCCCTGCAGGAGGGTCCCCCTGCCCCACCCGCCCTGGTGGCCGCCCACAGCCCTCAGCTGGGCAGCACCTCACAAGGTCACGGGCGCAGGTACCGGGGTGATCACCTGAGCATCTGGGGGACCCCCTGCTGCCCTGCTCTTGGTGGCAATGGCAGGTACAGAGGCCTGGAAGCTGCCTGACTCATTTAGGGCAGTGGGAGGACTCCAGGTGCCCGAGAGCCTGGGCCATGGTCTGCCCTCTGCAGCTGGCCAGCTGCCGTGCATGGAGCTGAGTGGGTCAGGCAGGATGGTCAGGATCTGGTGTCCTGGGGTGGTGACGGACCACCACAGTTGGTAGCCACCAGGGTGGGGAAAGCGCGGGTTCAGGAGAGTGGGGCCACTCAGCTCCCCAGCCTGGGCTCTGGGTGCAGCAGGTGGGGGTGTCCCCGAGGGGTGCCCTGCAACTGGGCAACTGGAGGGACGCACACTGGCCAGGGACGCGCCTTGGCAGTGGGTCTTCCTGTCGTGGCGCACTTGCTCTGAGGGCCCCTGCCCTGGCCGACACGGAGGACCTAGCCCTCCAGTGCAGGTGCTGACACCCGGGGCCGTCCACCCGCTCAGGGCCATGGGGCGCTGGAGGGAGAGCCGGGAGGCCGCGGCTTCTGGACGGACGGGAACCATGCCCAGCGAGGCAGGCGGGTCATTGTGTTTTGACTAAAAACAGTGCGGACTGTTTTCTCTTCTGGAGTCTCGGAAAAGTTCCGGGCAGCGCAAGGGAGGAAACGCTGACCTCAAGGTCCATGCAGGGCCTTTGCACCGCGTGATTCACCCTGGGCGTGGGGGGGGGGGGCATTGGTACAGAGATCCTTGCAGCGCCTAGGGCCCCTGCATTCCTCAAAAGGAGGTGACTCTGTTGTCTCTGCCTCCTGCGCCTGGTCCCTGGGGCCCCGACAGATGGGAACCTCACCGCGCACGTGTGCCCATGGCCTGACCGTAGCCCTTGGCTGGGCAAAGACCTGGCTGGCAGGTTTTTTGAGGGCACCAAGTTCTTGTGCCTCTTGCCCAACGGGCGTGGCTTGGAAAACAGTGCTCAGGGCAGGGCGGGTTCCCCGGAGGGCGGAGGCCAGGGCCTGAGCTGGGGAGCAGGCAGGGGGACTGCTGTGCGCCCAGCTCCGCTGGCTGTGAGTTCAGAGCCTTGGAAACAAGTCCTGCTCCCAGGAAGAGCGCTGAGCTGTGGGCAGTCTGCTGATAAGTGGCCTTCTGGAGGCTGTGTCTGGGGTCCACGTGGCCTTCCCAGGCTGGACAGCTGGAGGTTGCATCCCAGCAGCCCTTGGGCCTGGTGCCCCTTGGGGTGCTCTCCCACCCCATCCTCGGACAGGCCTGCCTGGGACGTGCCCTTCCCTCCTGCAGTGGGATCTGGAAGCCATCCCCCTTCCTGCCTCATGGCCAGCGTTCAGCCCCCAGGGAACAGGAGCCCTGGGCTGGGAGTCAAGACACCTGGCTTGTCACACCCTGTGTGACCGGACTAGTCCCCGCCCTGGGGCCTGTCTTGTCCTCTTGGCGGATGGCTCTGGACTTGGGCCAGCCTGGGCCTCTTCCTGGCTGGCAGCCCGCCATCCCTTCTCCGCCAGCTGTGACCACGCAGGGCCAGGCGGGCGCCGGAGGACGCAGGCAAGATGCGTCAGAGCAGGCCCCGCAGCCAGGGCCTCCCCGGGAGAGCCCAGGCTGGTGGGCCCCCGGCAAGCCCAGGCCCTGGCCGCCCGCCCGCGGCCGCCCTCACTCCCACCAGCAGGCCCAGCCCAGCGAGCTTTGCGCCCTGGATGGACGCAGTATGCATCTCGCATGGCCCCTAGACCCTGTCTGGTGACTGAGGGAAACCATCCACCTCCCTCCACGTTCCTGCAGGGTGACCGTGCCTGGGAGTCTCTTAGTGGACACCAGAGGTGGTGGCTTTGCTTGCGGAGCCCAAGGCTGCCTGCCTTGCTGGTCATCTCCCCAGAGAAGGGGCCTGAACAGCTTTGTGGAGAGCTTGGCATGGTCCCTTTCTTTGGTTTGGCCATCTGTACAGTGGGCAAGACTGTCCCCATGTGTTGGCTCGCCGTCAGCCTGTCTGAGTTACTGACCAGCAGGGCAGCACGAGAGCACCCTGCAGAGACCGGCCCCGGGACCCCAGAGGGCGCCCCAAGAGGGGGATGCTCGCGGCCGCTCCAGCAGGCCCCTGGGGTGAGGATGAGTTGTGGCAGCAATTCTTCAGGCAGGGACTGGACACCAGCGCGTGCCAGTCACAGCCGTGTGGCCCAGGGTTGCTGGGAAAGGGCCAGCGTCTCCCTGATTTCACAGCAGCCACACAAGCGGCGGGAGTGCAAGGAGACGGGGTTGCTATGGGGGACACGGGTGGAGAGAGGAGTGGCTGTTGGAAGGCCTCTCCTAGGAGGGGACCTTCGCAGACAGTCAGAGCCTTAGTGTGGGGAGAGCCAGCCGGACAGGAGGGACAACCCTGCAAAGGCCCTGTGGCTTCATGAGCTCATGTTCAGTAGGTGGGGCGGAGGAGAGGCGAGTGCAGGGAGGACCCAGGGTGGAGTCGGGGAGGAAAGCCAGGGACCCTCCTCGGGGCCCAGGAAGCGGGCAGTTGCAAGAGCTGCCACTGCAGATGCCACTCACAGGCCAGCGGTAGTGCCCTCTCAGTCCCAGGATGACTGGTGGCAAGGGCGATCCAGCCCAGTGATGATGGGATCTGAGCCAGCCCCAGGAGGATAGGGATGCACCAGCCCTATGCAGTGCTCCTCACCCGTGAGCCCTGACCCCTGTTGCCCTGGCCTTCCACAGTGGTCCCCAGCCCTCCTCAGGCGTCTGGCCTCCCTCCTGCAGGGTGGCCCTGCCACCTCTCCTCTCCTGTGGGCACCCCAAGACGCTGAGGCATGCTTGGCTCGGAGGAATTTGCAGGGGGAGCCTCCACTGCAGCGGAGGGCTGATGGGCAGCACCCATTGGTCACGTGCTCCAAGCCAGCCCCCGGGGCCCTGGCCCCCCCAGCCCCCAGGGAGGAGACTAAAAGCACCATCTTCCAAGAGGAAAAAGAGGAGAGTGGAAGGACTTGGGCCTGAGCACGGGGAGGGCTGTAAGCCCTGGCCTCTGCCGGCCTCCGCTGGGCTCCCCTCTCTCCTCCCCTCCTCCCCTGCTCCCCTCCTCCCCCTCCCCTCCCCCCTCCCTTCCTCCCTCCTCCCTCCCCCCCTCCCCAGGGGCCTTGTCCTCAGACTCCCCACAGCTTTGAACCCAGACTCTGGGTTGGATTCTGCCCTCTCTGCCCGAGAGGTCTGGCTGGGGTCAGGAGGCCTCTGGGAGTCTGTAGTGCTGTCCCCTGAGCCCAGTTCCTTCCAGTCCCCACCTCACTGTGGGGTGGGGCTCAGAAAGAGGGCTCTGGGTCTCCCAGTGTCCCCAGGAGGGCCTGCTGACAGGTTGGAGAGGCAGCCCCTCCCGCCCCGGAAAGCAGAGGCCCTTGGAGGAGACCTGCCTCCCTGCCTGGGGACAGACCGGGGTGGGACCCTGAGACCTGCGGGGAGTCAGAGTTTCAGCTCTGAGGTTCACACTGTGGGTTTCCTGCTGTGAGCCACTTTCCCATCTGCAGAGGAAAGAAGCTGCTCCGCGGGGCCCTTGGCTCCTTGTGTGACAGCCTCGCAGAGACAGGCCACAGACTCCGTCCAGTGGTCTCTAGCGCAGCCGCCACCACTGAGGAATGGCGTCGTCACCATCCAGTGTTCTCCCAGCCTTGAGCAGCCCCTGGCTGCTCCCTGTGCCAGGGTCGGCCTGCCGGGCACCTCATGGGCACGCAGTCCCAGCCTGGGGCTCTGCCATCCGGGAGGCTCGCCCACACTGTGGCAGGCACCACCTCCTGGTCCTTCCTAGGCCCCGCAGTGCCCCACATGGCCCGTCTTGTCCTTGTGCTCAGTCTTAGTGGACATTCGGGCTCCGGCGTTTTGTTCTCTGCTGTTCTTCGTGAGGCTGATGGGGCCGCGGGGGTGCTGGCAAGGGCCCTGCTGCTGGGCGCCCTCCGTCTCTGCTCTCTGGCTACCCCGTTGGGAGGGCAGCCGCGGCAGCGGTGGGTGCTTTTGTGTGGACACTATGCGCATGCCTGGAGCGCACACCTGGAGATGGTGTTGCTGGGTCATAGGGACACCTAGGGTTAGGCCTTCGAGGAGCCACCAAACTGCCTTCTGAGCAGCTAGGGAGTTGAGGTGACCAGTGCCAGCCAGTTTCAAGGCAGGAGGGTAAATGAGCCGCTCGGCAGTGTGGACATTTGGGGGGCGGGGAGTGCACGGCTGGGGGTAGCATCCTGCGTGGACCCAGGGCAGGGCTCACCTCCGGGCCCGGGCCGCAGAGCCATGAAGGGCAGCAGCAAGGTTCGGGGATCTGGACAGAGCGGGGGCGGGCGGGCTGCCTGCCGCAGGAGTCAGGGTGACCTTCCTCGGCTGGCCCCACCTGCATGCCGCAGGCAGCTTCAGCAGGCGTCACCCGGTCTGTCTGCTTTCCCTGCTCAGCCAGGCATGTGGCAGATGCGGGCAGGAGGCTGGTATCCACAGGGCTGGCTGGTCACATGCCCATGGTCCTGCCGCAGTGGGGTGGAGAGGGGCCTTCCCCAGACGGGCATCTGCCCACCCCTTCTGCTGAAAGGTGGCATTTCTCCTCACCAGGGCAGGGTGGGTGGCACGAGCTGTGTCGTGGTCATCACGCTCTCTCCTGGGAGGCAGTGGCTGTGACTTTCCACCTGTGTGTGACATCACCAGCACAGCCATGGTGCACGGCCATCTGCCCACGGGCAGATTCTGGGGACCCCCCACCTTAGCTTGGCTTTGCAGCCCTAGGTGGCTGCCCTCACGCATCCCATGTGTCATCAAACCCTGCAATTCTGAAGTCCTGGGGTGGGGACGAGTCTGCCTGCCCCTGTGCCCAGGCCAGGGCGGGGCTTGCTCTGTGCCCAGCCGATGCCCCCGGCTAGAGGAGGCCACTCTGCCTCAGATGTCCCTTGCCAAGGAGGGAGTCACACAGCAGTTATGTGCTGGGGCCTCATAGAGCTGAAGGAGGTGACAGTCCTGAGCCCCTCGGGATGGCCGCTGTGGCCGCCGGCTGGACGCACTGCCCGCTCCTAAGCAGGAAGCCAGGGCTCACCTGTTTGCTCGTGGGGTGGTGTGCAGGGGTCCAGCCCCCCGCCACCTGTTGACTGGGCTCCGCGCCCAGGGCCCTACCCGGCACCACATCACTCAGGCTTGGGTGGGTAGTGACCTCCATAAGTCACCATCGCCCTCTGCCTTGGTCTGCCTGGGCCTTTGGCTTCGTGGCGGCTCCGCGCAGTATGACGGCTCGTCTGGGCCCCTGGCGTGTCCCAGCCTGGGGCTCTCCTGCGGGCCGTGTGGTCCTGGCCTGGGCCTCTGTCCATGCCTTGCCTCCTGGCCTCTGGGCTGGGTCAAAGGCAGTCTTGGCCACAGTGAGGGCTGCATGGAGCAGCGTAGTTTTCCCCTCTGGGCTGGCCAGATTCCTGGGGAGAAACAGTTGGCCTTGGCTGGGTGACGCTGGTCATTGGTCCCTCTCAGGGCTTCTCTGGCGGTGCCTCCCTGCCCCAGCACCCGAGGCTGAGACCATGGAATCAGAAGAGCCAGCCCAGAGCGAGAGCCCCAAGTGGCCTGACGCCTGTCTCCCCACAGGCTACTGTCCCCGAGGCCCAGCCTCCTGACCCCAACCAGTGATCCCAGGGCCAACACGTCACCTCAGAAGCCACTGGACCTGAAGCAGCTGAAGCAGCGGGCGGCCGCCATCCCCCCCATTGTGAGTGGGAGCCCCCCCACTGGCCTTGACTTCCTGTTCCCAGCAGCGGGTGGGCTGGAGTCTGCACCTGTGGCCACTCCTCCTGCCTCCTGTTTCCTGAGGAGCCCCCCCCCCACCCCCGGAGGGGCGGGGGAGGCGGGAGCCTGCAGCCCACAGGTCTTCCTAGACCCCCGCCGCGTGAGCCAGCTGCGACCTACTCCTCCTTGCATGGGTCCCCTGAGGCCCCAGACTAGTCAATGGGAGCAGAGAGCTGCCCTAGTTCACTAGGGCCCTTCGGGAGCCTCCAGCCGTGGACAGTCTCTTAGCCAGACCTGTGGGCCTCAGAGGTGCTCCTTCCAAGAGATGGGCACTGGGGGCTCCAAGCCCACAGGTGGGGCTACTGGTCAGGCTTCATGAGTGTTGGGCACTGGACATGCCAGGCCACACTGCCACACCCCAGGGTCAGCACTGCCCTTTTCCCAGCCCTGATCTCTCTGGAATTTGGGTTCTAGGGATGGAGGTGGGCCGGGAGTGGAGCTGGGCCCTAGCTGCCCACCCCACCCAGCAGCTGGGACGGGCCCTTCTCCTGGAGCTGGGTGGTGACCCGTATGCTTTGTGCTAGAGCTCTTCTCTGACCCTGCATATGACCTTAAGTATGTCACTGCCCCTTCTGGACTCTGACTTCCAGACTGGCCCATGCAGGACACTCACTGACCTGTCACCTCAGACCCTTTACAAGGACGCTCACTTCTCCCTCCCTCCCCAGCAGGTCACCAAGGTCCATGAGCCATCCCGGGAGGAGGCAGCGCCCCCTAAGCCAAGTCCCTCTGCCCCAGCGACCCCGCAGCACCTACAGCCGGAGGGTGGCCCTGCCCAGCCGCCCAGCACCAGTCCTCCAGTCAAAAGCAGGAGCCCTGCGCCTCCCGCCGAGAAGGAGGGTGAGTGCGCCCCCGAGGATGGCCGGAGGGTGTCTCTGGGGACAATGGGCAAGTCCAGGCCTGCAGCTAGGGATGGTGGCCGCCTGGAGAGCTGGTGCTTGTCCGTGGTGGGCACACGTGGGCCCACCCACGTTGCAGGGCAGGTCGGGCCTGGGTGGCCCTTGGGGCCGTCTTTTCATGCAGCTCCTCCATGTGTCCAGAGCATGGTCCCGTGCAGAACCGCATCCGTAGCCCCCGCTGGGGTGACTAGTCCACACACGGTCTCTAGAACCCCAGGTGAGGCCGGATGCCCAGCTCGCGGGGCGTGCTGCCCTCTACAGCTCTTGCCTGGACCTTGTTCTGGGGTGAGGTTGCCGTGCCCACCAGGGAACCAGGGCAGACCCCCGGCTGCGCTGTCACCGTAAGGCCTGGGTCGGCAGACTGAGGCCAGCTTTCCTGCCCTCTGCATCTTGTTTCTGCCCGTTTCAGCTGGACCGAGGACTCCCGAGTCTGTTCCCAAACTGTCCCCCTTTCCAAGGCCTGACAGGCAGCAAGTACTACAGGCTCGTGGGGATCGTCACACGACCGACCCCAGGTTGCACCTGCTGGCCGCAGGGGTCCAAAGCAGCAGTCCCAGAGGCTGGTCTCAGCTGGGACCACTGCCTGCTGTCCTCCCCAGCCTCCATCATAGCATCTCCTGAGGAAGCCCAGCTGGCCCTTGGCCATGGACGGCCTTGGAAGGTGGTAGTGATGGATGCCCACCCTGTGCTCCCCATGGCCATTTTCACGTGCTGCGGAGACTTCTGGGGAGGGTGGACAAGCACCCCTAGCAGCATGCAGGAGCCTCCTGACCCTCCTCCTGGGCAGGGAGTGTGGGATGCCTGTGGTTGTGTTTGGCAGTGGAGATCTGGTGGCCAGAGGCTGAATGTCCTGCTCTGAGAGCTGCTGAGGGGATCCTGAGCAGAGCAGGACCGCAGGAGAGTGTTTAGCGGGAGGCTGGCCAGCAACCAGGGCAGGGAAGGCCTCTCTGGGGAGTGTGAGGGGCCAGCTGCGAGGCCGTGGGCAGGGCTGTTCAGGCGGAGGCCCTGATGTGGGCCGTGGACGGGAGTTTTGTCTCGCAGCAGCAAAGCCTCGGGTGAGTGGGCGCTGGGGAGGGACGCACAGCTAGGCCCCTGTGCTGGAAACATCTCTCAGGTTGCTGGGGGGCAGGAAGGGCTACAGGGTCGGGCAGAGGCACAAGGCCACAGTGAGGTGGCCTTGGACACAGGAGGAAGCATGGATCTGGAGCTGGTTTCAGAGACAGGCCGGGGACCTGGTGGCCACCTGGTGTGGCCAAGCTGTCTCCCTGGGCTGGGGTGCCTGTCGGGAGGGGTGGCCGCATGGGACAGGTGAGGGGTGTGATGCGGGGCGCTCTCTGGAAGGACATTCCAGGCTCAGGACAAGAGCCTAGGGACAGCTGTGTATGTGTGTCAGGGACCTGGACAGCTCGGGCTGGTGTCAGCTGGAGTGGGGCAGGAACCACATGGGGCCAGCCAGAGCCAGCTGGGCTGGGTCACAAGCCCCCGGGGAAGAGCAGCCACCAGCCGTGGTCTCCATGAGCTCAGGCCTGGGCCGGCTCCTAGGCGTGGTTTTCCACGGATATGGCGCACCTGGCGCAGGCTCTTGGCATCTTTGGTCTGGTCGGCAGCTTGGCTCCCCCAGGACCCTCTCATTTCTCAGGAAGCAGCCCCTGGCCCTGGCCCCGGCCCCTCTGCAGAGCAGCCCCACCGGGGCTCCCTGGGGCCAGCTGGAGGAGCAGGTTGTCTCCCAGCCCTCGGCTGCCCAGCCGGGCCCCAAGTCCCTCCCAGACGGAGGCCTCCTCCCCCGCCCTCCAGAGTGGAGAGCAGCTGAGGAGGTGGGCGGGGGCTGGCCAGTGTGGCCAGCCAGGGTATTCTCAGAGCTTCCTGGCCTGGGTTGGCTCAGCAGAGGCGCCTCCACCAGGGCTAGTGGAAAGTGGGGTCCTCAGTGAGGCCCTCTGTGCCCTTGCCCTTGCCCAAGGCAGCTGCCCTCCAGCACACAGTACGGGGAAGCGCCACGTCTCGTAGGAGGCAAGGTCCACTCTGCAGCCTGCAGGCTGCCCTCCCAGGCCATGCCCACAGCAGGCATCACTGATCCATCCCGGCACTCCCCTGCCCTACTCCACGGGCCCTCAAGACATGACACCTCCCTACAGTCCCGCCCCCGGGCCCCAGACCTCCATCATTGCCACTTTGTGTCCCTTTCCACCTGTGAACTAGTTACCCCTGCCCCGTAGCATCTGTCTAGAGCTTAGCACCGACTCAGCAAAGGGCCAGGGGCCAGTGGGGGGACTCTGTGAAGGCAGACCTGAGCCCAGGGCCCCTGGCTGTGTCAGTTGAGGGTCATATGTGGCTGCTCTTCTGGTGGCCAGGAGGGGAAGAGCCAGGCCTGGCGCCAAGCCTCCTGCCTCAAAGCTCCCACCTGGTATCTGGGGCCTCAGTTTTCCTGTCTATGAAACAGGGACTGTACCTGGAGGGTGCTGTGGGGACAGCTGGGCTGACGTGCTCAGCGTCAGTCTGGAGGAGGCCCTACGAGGGCAGCAATTCCTATCAACATTGACCGCCACACGGGTTCAAATCCTGACCTGGCCGCTTACTGGCTGTGACTGCTGCTGTGTCTGGGTGTCACCCTTGGGCACCTTCAGGGACCTCGGGAAGGCTGGAAGCTGGACCTCAGTGCCAGCTGCCCATCCAAGGGCTGCGGGCACAGAGGGCCTCACTGGGGACCCCACTTTCCACTAGCCCTGGTAGAGGTGCCTCTGCTGGACCAGGCTCAGCATGGTGCTGGCACTTTGCTCAGCAGATTGCTGGCCCTGTGATGACTGGCACCCTGGTCAGCGAGCCGCAGCCCCCTCTGTGGACACCTCGGCCCAGCCACTCAGTCTGCGGGGGATGAGTTCAGTGAGCGGCCCTGCCCTGGTTAGGGTGGCGCCCCAGGCCCTCTCGCTCCCTGGCATTGGCTCTGTGCCCTCAGTGCCAACTGCCCATTCCTGTCCCCAGAGGTTCCTGTGTGGCCCCAACCCCGAGGCACCTCCTGTGCATCCATGCTGAGCAGGTCACAGGGACACAGTGCAGCCTCCAGGATGCAGGCAGGAGGGCGCCCAGGCCAGCACAGCCCATGTTGCTGCCGGGTGGCCAGGGCTGCGGGGGTCCCAGAGGCAGGCAGCTGGGCACCACCTGACTGCCCACCTCACGCCCTCCACAGAGAAGCCTGCGTTCTTCCCAGCCTTCGCAGCCGAGGGCCAGAAGCTGCCTGCAGAGCCCCCTTGCTGGACCTCGGGCCTGCCCTTCCCTGTGCCCCCTCGGGAGGTGATCAAGGCCTCCCCACATGCCCCGGACCCCTCAGCCTTTGCCTACGCACCACCTGGTGAGTGCTTGGTCCAGTCTCGGCTTCTCGGCTGACACACTTACTCAGCCTGGCCTCAGTCACTGGGCCCCGGCTGTTTGCCCTGGTCCAGAACCTGGAGAGGGTTTGGGGGCCAGCCAGGAATCTCCTGTCGGGACAAGGGAGGTGGAGGGTGTCCAGGGTTGTGGGGTCTCCACAGCAGACATGTGCCCTGCAGGTCACCCGCTGCCCCTGGGCCTCCACGACGGTGCCCGGCCTGTCTTGCCACGCCCACCCACCATCTCCAACCCACCTCCCCTCATCTCCTCCACCAAACACCCCGGCGTCCTCGAGAGGCACATGGGCGCCATCTCCCAGGTGAGGGGCATTGTGGAGCAGCTTTGTGGCCAGGTGCCCGGGTGTGGCCCCTCCCCCTCGGAGCTGGGTCTGCCCACCTATGGGGTAGGGCCCTGGACACCTGGGATCTGGTCCTTGGAGGTCGCTCGTGGGGCAGCCAGCGCACCGTGGCCTCATGCGGGCGAGTCAGGGCTTCCGGCCTCAGCTTGCCCTCTGTTCAGTGGTGGGTGGATTAATAGAAGTGAAGGGGGCTTCCCAGGGTGAGCGCTTGGTGTGTGGCCAGCTGCCCAGCACCTCTTGGGCTATCCCCGCCGTCCCCCCCCACACACACACACACAGTGTAGCCAGGTCAGGAATGTGGCCTCCATTTGGCCTGGGCTGCTTCTGCCTACCGTGTTCTTTGAACTGCACCAGGGAGGGGAGGGCTGGATGCTGCCTGAGTGCAGTCACACAGGTGCGCAGCAGGGTGGACTGCAGCCCTCTCCAGCCTCAGGCCAGGGTCAGCTGGCCTACTCTGGCTGAGGGCCACTGTGACCCCACACCCTGGCCCTGCAGGGAATGTCGGTCCAGCTCCACGTCCCATACTCCGAGCACGCCAAGGCCCCCGTGGGCCCCATCAGCATGGGGCTGCCCCTCACCATGGACCCCAAGAAGCTTGGTGAGGACCTGGGCCTGCCCACCTGGTGGCCTTGCAGAGGGCGTGAGGGTGGGAGACTGGGCCTGTGGGGCTCTAGGTAGCAGTGGGCAGCCCAGCAGTCTTGGCCGGATGCCTGTGGAGGGCCTCGGGCCCGCAGGCCCGGGCAGCAGCCCTGGGATGAGGGCTGGTGGGCTGCTCCTCACGGCCCACCCTCTCGCTGGTCTGCAGCGCCCTTCAGTGGGGTGAAGCAAGAACAGCTGTCGCCACGGGGCCAGACTGGCCCACCCGAGAGCCTGGGCGCACCCACGGCCCAGGAGATGTCTGTGCTGAGAGGTGAGGGCCATCACCAGCCGTCCCAGCCCCCTCCCCAGGTCCCCAGCCTCTGCCCCATATCACCCCAGCATGGATCCCGACATCTGCCCTCAGATCACTTCCTTAGGTCTCCAGCCTCTGTCCCTGGGTCCCCAGCATCTGCCCCTGGGCCACCCCCCCAACCTGGGTCCTAGGGGGGCAGCTGCAGACACCCAAAGCGCCCGTGTTTCATGTCTTGCAGGGACATCTCTGGGCTCCGTTGCGGGCGGGAGCATCACCAGGGGCATACCCAGCACGCGGGGGCCCTCCGAGAGCCCCAGTGCCTACCGGGGCTCCATCACCCACGTAGGTGTCCTGGCAGGGCAGGGTGGGCCTCCTGGAGCATGGTCGGGCTGGGACGCCAGGCAGAGCTGCAGCCTCGCTACCCTCCAAGCCCACGTGTAGCACAGGGAGTGGCTGTGGACAGGTGGCAGCCGGGCAGGGTAGCTTCAGAGGATGGAGCACTTCAAAGCCAGTGAAGCCCCGCGGCTGGCAGGCCTAGTCCCAAAAAGTCATTTAGTGGGCAACCGGGGGGCTGTGAGCCAGAGTAGCCGGAATCCAGGGCAGGGGCCGCAGGCAGAGGGCCGAGGTGGTGGCTCTGGCCTGCTGGAATGGCAGACCCCCGAGTGTGCCGGACGTGTCTGGCTCGCCTGCTGGAGGAGGGGCCACATGCTCCCAGCCTTGTGCCATGTGTGCACACTCAGTGGAGTTGTGGCCACCAAGGGGACACGGTGCCCTTCAGTGCTGTGCCTCTGGAAGGGAAGGTTTTAAAATCCCAGCAGCCTTGTGGGGTGTGAGAGCAAGGTTGAGGGACAAAGGCCAGCCGAGGGCAGCTGGGTCCCAGCCCTGCCACACTCGGGCAGGGACACACCCTCCCAGAGAGCCAATTGCGAGGTCGTAGGGGTCCACGGGCAGTGTGGAAGCCCCTGACCTGCACCTGCCGTGGGTCCAGGCAGCCAGGACCAAGCTGTCTGGGCCATGCCGACTCCTTGGCTGATCCTGGCGTGGTGGCAGCTGCCAGAGAATCTGAGGCAGGTGAGGGTAACACTGCTCCCAGCCTTGCCATGAGGGCAGGGTGGACTTGGCTCTTGCCCACCATATGCAGAAGCGTTGCTTGGCCATGGGGCGCTGGCCGCTGAGACACCTTGCCCCACGATCAGCTTGGAAGCCCGAGGTCGTCCCCGTCCTGATTGACACTCCTTTCCACCTGGGGGCAAGCTCATGGGGCCGACGTCGAGTGGCCACAGGCCTGGGCACAGGCATCTGTATTCCACGGACTTTGTCCAGCGAACCCTCCCAGACAGGGCCAGCAGCCTGGCTGTGTGTCCGTCCTCTGCCCTGCCATGGGGCGCATGTGAGGCCCCTGGGTCCCGCCAGTGAACCTTGCTGTGGGGAAGCCCCTGAGCTCCCAGCAGACACTGCTCCACCCCAACCACCAGGTGTCACCCAAGATACGGTGACAGGTGCACTAATGCCAGCAACCCCGGTACGGCCTTTGCTGCAAGGCCTTTGCTGCAAGGACGTCGGATCCCCTGCTGAGGACTCTCCCAATGAGCTGAGCTGCCACCTGGCCTGACCGATACCCGCCTGCGCCTCTGCACCCATGTCACAGCAAGGGGTCCTGGCTCGCAGCCTCTGCCAGGCACTGTCCCCACCCTAGGGCGCACTCCTCAGCAGAGTCCCACAGGAGACTCAGTTCCCCAGGGCAGGGCCTGGAACACAGTAGGACTCCACATCACTGAGTCTGTTCCTGAGATCGCAGAAGGGAAGAGGGAGCTGCGGATCTGGGGACACCTTGTCTGTACCAGGTGCCTTTGAGAGTCTCAGACAGAGTCGAGGCTTCATTTTGTAGATGTGCAAACTGGGGTCCACACAGACAGGGACTTGGAAAAGGCCACACAGCAGCTGGGTCAGCTTGCTGTTTGATTCCCCAAAGACCTGTCTCCAGAGTGGTGTCCTGACGTGTCCACTCTTCCTGGAAATCGCCCAACAGAGCCTGCCCTCTGCGTGAGCACACCCCGCAGGGGCTTGCTCCTTCTAAAGGGTGGCTCTCCACTGGGGATAGTCGTACCCCCAGGGGACACTGGATAGCATCTGGGGACATTTTGGATCGTCACAGTTTGGGGAGAGGGGCTGGGGAGTGTGCATGGCGTGTCCAGACCAGGGTCGCTGCCAGCCATTCGCCAGGGCCAGAGTCACCAGCCCCAGGTTGGGAGGCTCAGGAGCCAGTGTCTGACACCCAGCACTGAGCAGAGCCTTTGTCCTGGTTTCGGGAAGCCTGGGCAATGGCACTTGGTCAAGGACCCGGGGCCGGAGCTGAGTCTTGTGGCCAGCAGCTGCCCTGAGACATCTGACCCCTGGGCTCCCCGATGGTGGCGCCCCCACCTGGCACAGGGCGGGACCGCTGCAGCCCAGGCCTCGGGTCAAGTCCAGATCCCACCTCGAGGGCCAGGCAGCTCTGGGCGGAGCACCTCACCCGAGCCTCCGCTTTGTCTGAGGCAGCACATGGCCCTGTCCACCCTGGGTCAGTCCCAGGACTGAGAGAGCAGGATGGTGTCGGCAGGCCATCGCTACGTGGCAGCCCTGTGTAAAGCAGGGCTCCTGGTCCTGGTGCGTCTCGCCTTGTGCCCTGTGTCCCCGTGGGCTATGCCCCCATGGAGACGCCACACGTGTGTGCACACATGTGCTCAGGTGGGCCACGTGTGGATCAGGTCACCAAGGGTTTCGTGTTCAGCTCTCCGTCCCCACAGGGTACCCCGGCCGACGTCCTGTACAAGGGCACCATCACCAGGATCATCGGCGAGGACAGCCCCAGTCGTTTGGACCGGGCCCGGGAGGACAGCCTGCCCAAGGGCCACGTCATCTATGAGGGCAAGAAGGGCCATGTGCTGTCCTATGAGGGTGAGTGCAGGGTGGGCAGCCCCTGGCCTCCCCTCCCCCCATCTCAGGGATCTCTGGTGCCCAGAGCACACTGCTGGGAGGACAAGGGTGCTGGGGAGCTCGTCACTTGGTCACTTGAGTTTGTGCCAGGGCTGGGGTCAGAGCAGACACTAGACCAGGCCACGTCCCACCCTGTTAGCTCCTGGGACACCACGGCAGAGGCGAGTCAGAAGTCCCTTGTTAATTTTGAGTTGTGGAAACCTGCCCTTCCCGTGAGGCCTGTCCACCAGACCACGGGCCTCGGTGCATCCACCCCTGGTTAAGAAGGGAGTGTCCCAGACCCACAGTGGCATGGGAGAGCAGCCAGGTGCCTGTGGACAAGCCAGGGCAGGGGTTGCCTCCTGTTGGCTCCTGTGCTGAGAGCCGGGTGGAGGAGACGGGGTGCCCCTTACCTAGGTCCTAGGTCCCAATGTGGGCGTCCTCCTGGCCCTCGGAGACGGACAGCAGGACCAGGGGATAAGGCCTGACCCCTGGATGTGGTTCACGGGCAGGCTGGGGTAGAGTAGACTAGGAGTGCAGTCTGAAGGGCAGCGCAGGCCAGGCAAGGGTTGGCCCGGGGCCTTCCCCCAGTACCCAGTTCTTTATTACTAGTGCTGTGGTCAGCCTGTGAGGGAAGAGGCCCAGCCTAGGTTCCCGCGCTCCCCGCTGGGCCCAGCTCTGCACGCTCCATGACCCCAGTCCCCACTGGCCCTGCCCCTCCCAGTCCTTCCCCTCCACTTCTGGATTCTGGAACCAGGAGCCCTGGGGTGAGGGTGGGCAGGGGCTCAGTGCCACTGGCGTTTCCTGGCAGCCCTGGGTACTCAGTGGTGCGGACCCCAGGGTACTGCATCCAGTTGCTTCCCCCCACCCCTGAAGTGGAGCTGGTGCCTTGTGGCTTGGGGATGAGCTGCAGCCCCAGTGGAGTCCCCGGGGGATGGTAGTCTGGGGGATGACTAGCTGGTGGTCAGGGTGGCCTCTGAGACACCCTGTAGCCTGGAGCTTGTCATCCTCACAGCAGCTAACAGGACAGCTCTGGGCAGGGGACGGCTACTGACCTCTGCCCCCTCTGCACAGATGCTGCCCTGTCTGGGGATGAGGAGTCACCTCTCCACAGGGACTCCTTCACCCCACGTGCATTGACCCAGGGCACACGCACATCTGTGTGCGCCCACAGACAGGTTGTGTGGGTGTCCCTTGTCACCCCTCTGTCCATGGCCACAGGCCTCTGCGGCAGGCTCACGACTATTTGCACATGCGTGCCCGTGTCCACGCCTCCTGAGGGCCTTGGGTGGGGCCAGACTCTCTCGCCAGCAGGAGAGCCTGGGCCGTGGCAGCAGGCAGCATCTCTGCCTCTCCATCCAGGAGCCCCGGGATGCTGGGAGGCCCACAACGGGCAGAGGCCAGCTCCTCAGGTGCCTCCGTCTGCTCTCCAGGTGGCATGTCTGTGTCCCAGTGCTCCAAGGAGGACGGCAGGAGCAGCTCAGGGGCACCCCATGAGGCGACGGCCCCCAAGCGCACCTACGATGTGATGGAGGGCCGTGTGGGCAGGACCATTTCCTCAGCAGGCATTGAGGGTGGGTTCCGCCCACCGCCCACTGCCCACCCCAGGGACACAAGTGTGGGCCCTCGCTCCTGCCCTGGGCTTCCCAGCTGGGGGGTGTCAAGGGACAGTGAGTGGTCTCTGGATGCCTCGCAGGGAGGCGGTGGGGTGGCTGGTCCTGATTCACAGACGGCTGAGGCTGGACTCCATCTGGAGGCAGCATGAGGCCCAGAAGACGGGGCACTTGTTGGTAGGTCCTGTGCCCCCGCCTGTCTCGTGAGTTTAGTGGTTAGCAGACCCTCCCCCTTGGCTGGGGACGTGCCGTGACGCCCTGCCTTCCCCAGGTCTCATGGGACGCGCCATGCCCCCAGAGCGGCACAGCCCCCACCCCCTCAAGGAGCAGCACCACATCCGCGGCTCCATCACCCAAGGTACGGCCCCTGCCCCTGCGCACAGCAGGATGGGAGCTGGGGGGCGCAGATGTGCAGGCACTTGCCCAGGGCGTGTGAGGGTGGACGGGCCTCTGGGGATCGCCTCACGGGGCCTGTTATGGGGCGGGGGTGGCCCAGCAGGGCCTGCAGAGGGTGGTGTGCGTGGCCAGAGGTGCCAGCCCTGTGCCTGTTCCCAGGTCTGGGGTGGAGCCCAGGCTGGCACAGGTGGGCAGGTGCTGCACCCAGCCCTGATCTGTGCTATTCTTGGGATGTCACACACTGTCCGCGTATGTTAACGAGGTCACACCCGGGTGGACTTGGGCTCCAGACCTGGCTGGGGAGGACCTAGGGTGGCCCAGCAGGGTGTGCGGCGCGTGCTGAGGGTTGGTCCCTTCGCCCGGCAGGGATCCCGCGGTCCTATGTGGAGGCCCAGGAGGACTACCTGCGCAGGGAGGCCAAGCTGCTGAAGCGTGAGGGCACGCCACCCCCGCCACCACCGCCCCCACGGGACCTGGCTGAGGCCTACAAGACCCGGCCCTTGGAGGCCCTGGGCCCCCTCAAGCTGAAGCCAGCCCACGAGGGCCTGGTGGCCACCGTGAAGGAAGCGGGCCGCTCTATCCACGAGATCCCCCGCGAGGAGCTCCGGCGTACCCCTGAGCTGCCCCTGGCCCCACGGCCACTCAAGGAGGGCTCCATCACCCAGGTACGGGCAGAGGGGTGGCAGGCCGTGGGGCATCACGGTGATCCTCGTGGTTTTCCGTCCCCATTTATTGGTGAGTCACTGAGGTGTTCAGAGAAGTTAAGGACTCACCCAGGGTCCCAGCAAACCCGAGACTGTGTCCTGCAAGTGGCAGCCCCTGCGGCCCCAGCCGGGCGGGGAGGACCTGCTGCCATGGTGACAGTAGGAGTCTGTGGAGCCCCTGCAGGGCACTGTCCCCTCATGGTCGGAGGTGGCTGGGTGTACAGTTGTGAGGAGGGTCAGGAGGGCTCCCCGGGTGGTGAAGGGCACCCCCAGCCACCATGTCTCTGGGTGAAGATGTCCACACCCCCCGGGGCACAGAGGCTGGGGAAGGACTGGCTCTCGGCTCTGGGCAGCGGGGGAGCCATTGGAAAGGACCCACCTTGTGTCCAAGATGGGGCAAGTCTGATTTTAGAATATTCTCCCAGAAGCTAGAACGCTCCTCCTCCTCAGGAAACTGTGGTTAAACATGGCTGAATAAAGGGACCAGGCATGGACCCCGTCTTCCCAGCCTGCTGGGACAGAGCAGGCTCTGCTCCTGGGAGACTTGGCTTCTTGTTCACCGTCAGCTCCACAGCTGCCCTTTTGGGCCAGAGAGCAAACGTGAACCTCATCCTCAAGCTCAGCACCCACGGCCTGGCTCAGGACGGTGGGGCGGGGTTCCCAGCCAGGTCTTGGGCGCACCGTGGAGGGTCCCTGCCGACCAGAGGAAGCTTGGCCCGTGTGAGCAGGGCTCCTTCCAGTACGCCCCAGGGCTAGTGGACGGTCCACCACTTGCCTGGGGAGGATTGACTGACAGCTGAGCCTTCTGCCCCTTCCTGCAGCTCCCAGGTAGCTCTGGCCAGGATGAGGCCAGGCCCGGGCAGGCAGGACGCCGGCATCTGTCCTGGGCTGGGCGTGAGAGTTGGCGCCCTCTGTCCCCAGGGCACCCCGCTCAAGTACGACACGGGCTCGTCCTCCACGGGCTCCAAGAAGCACGACGTGCGCTCCATCATTGGCAGCCCTGGCCGGACCTTCCCGCCTGTGCACCCACTTGACGTGATGGCGGACGCACGGGCTCTGGAGCGTGCCTGCTACGAGGAGAGCCTGAAGGGCCGGCCTGGCGCTGTGGGCAGCTCCGGGGGCTCCATCACCCGTGGGGCCCCGGTCATCGTGCCCGAGCTCGGCAAGCCACGGCAGAGTCCCCTGACTTACGAGGACCATGGGGCACCTTTCACCAGCCACCTGCCCCGTGGCTCACCCGTGACCACCCGGGAGCCCACGCCTCGCCTGCAGGAAGGTGAGAATGGGTGGCGAGGTAGGGCCCACCATGGCCTCGGGCCTGCGGGAGGGGCTCTTTCCCCCTCCATGCCTTCCCTCCAAACGCCCACAGAGCGCGTCTCTGCCTGGTTCTCACTCAGGGCCTTTGCACGTGCCAACCCCTCTGCCTTCCCCAGCAGCACCTCCCCTGCCCTGCTCAGTCCCCAGCCTCTGGGACACTCTTACACCCCTCCTCTCAGTTCTGGTCACGTCCGTGACAGTTTGACGTTTCATTCTGAACATTTATTGTCCTGGAGTCCTAGTCTGTTCCTGGTCTGTCTCTGTCTTCTGATTCAAGCGTCAGCTCCGCAGGCCTGGGATGTAGGTCTGTCTTGTCCCAGGGGCCTCGCGCTCTGGGCAGCACTGGGTGCCAGGCGGAGGCTGCACAGATGTTTGGTAGATTGAATGAAGGAACCCGGAGGGAAAGAGTGGGCGAGGGGTTTTGTTGAAGGATTTGCAGAGAGAATGAGGGGGGCGGGGAGAGGGCCGCGGCCCGGGGAGGAGACAACTCCCCAGATGCCAGCCCCCGCCCTGCCCGGGTCCTGTGACCCGTTCCTGCAGGCAGCCTGTCCTCCAACAAGGTGTTCCCTGTCACTGCAGGCAGCCTGTCCTCCAGCAAGGCGTCCCAGGACCGGAAGCTGACCTCAACACCCCGCGAGATCGCCAAGTCCCCGCACAGTGCGGTGCCCGAGCACCACCCGCACCCCCTCTCCTCCTACGAGCACCTGCTGCGCGGCGTGAGTGGCGTGGACCTGTACCGGGGGCACATCCCGCTGGCCTTCGACCCCACCTCCATACCCCGCGGGATCCCTCTGGACGCAGGTGACTGCGGGTCTGGACCCCCGCCCTGGGAGGCGGGACTCGGGCGGGGACCTCAGCAGCACCAGCACAGGGACCCTCAGGGATCAGCAGCCAGACTCCCTGGAGGGGTGCTGAGGCCTAGAGGAGCCAGCGCCGGGTGGGCGCATTGGGCCTGGAGCGACCCTGGGCTGGGGGCTGGCTCTGCCCTGGACCTGAGCTGGATCAGGCTGGGCGGGGGGCTTCTGCCACATGGCCAGGTTGGGGCCTTTGTCCAAGGACAGACCTGTTGGGGGGTCAGCAGGCCCCTCCTGAAGCCTCCACATGGGCACCTCAGCTGAAATGCCGTGTGGCCTGGTCGGGCGTGCACTGCTCGTTCCTCGGGAGCCCATGTCACCTGGAAGGACGGTAGGGGTCTCCACGCCCTGTGGCCTGGCTGACCTCGATCCCCTCCACACAGCCACTGCCTATTACCTGCCGCGACACCTGGCGCCCAACCCCACGTACCCACACCTGTACCCGCCTTACCTCATCCGCGGCTACCCGGACACAGCGGCGCTGGAGAACCGCCAGACCATCATCAACGACTACATCACCTCGCAGCAGATGCACCACAACGCGGCGGCCAGTGCCATGGCCCAGCGCGCGGACATGCTGAGGGGCCTTTCACCCCGGGAGTCCTCCCTGGCGCTCAACTACGCCGCCGGCCCTCGAGGTGGGCGGTGGGCTTCTCCCTGGCTCTGTGGGCTCGCTGGGGTGCAGAAGCCACTGCGCGCCCACTGGTTGGGGGTTTGGGGTTATGGCACAGGCGTGTGCACGTGCACGGTGCTCTCCTGGCACTCAGGCTTGCTGGGGCTGTGGGGGGCATCCCTGGTGTCCTGGGCGCCTGGCAGTAGTGCTGCAGGCCAAGGCGAGAACCAGTCACGGGCGTTCCGGACAGTGAGGCTGGGTGAGGCTGGTGGTGAGGGGACAGCCCCGAGAACAGAGGCCACCCAGGCAGGGAGTGGCCCTCCAGGGCGGGGGCGGGGGCTGCCCGTCCAACACTCTGGGAAGGGGTCGTGAAGGTGAGTCTATTCTCCCTGGACGGTGCGGGGCTTCTGGCTGTCGCCATGCCCCTTTTTCTGTGGCTAAGCCCCGTGTCCCCACCCTAGGCATCATCGACCTATCCCAAGTGCCACACCTGCCCGTGCTGGTGCCTCCAACGCCAGGCACCCCGGCTGCCGCCATGGACCGCCTGGCCTACCTGCCCACAGCGCCCCCGCCCTTCAGCAGCCGGCACAGCAGCTCCCCACTGTCCCCAGGTACCACGGGTCCCCGAGCACTGGGTGCGAGCAGGGAGAAGCACTCCCTGGATCAGGGCTGAGTCTGGCCTTGGTCCCCAGGAGGTGCCTTGACCAAGCCGACGGGCACAGCCTCGTCAGAGCGAGAGCGGGAGCGGGACAAGTCCATTCTCACGTCCACGGCAACTGTGGAGCACGCGCCCATCTGGAGACCCGGTAGGCGTGGGCTCCACCCCTGGGCTTGCGGGTCCTCGTGGGGCCTGGGCTGCTCCCTGATGATAGCCTGTGCCCAGGTACGGAGCAGAGCAGCAGCAGCAGCAGCAGCAGTGGTGGCAGCGGGGGTGGGGCCAACAGCAGCCGCCCTGCCCCCCACCCTCATGGCCAGCAGCACTCGCCCATCTCCCCCCGGACCCAGGACGCCCTGCAGCAGAGACCCAGCGTGCTGCACAACACGGGCATGAAGGGCACCGCCACCCCTGTGGAGCCTAGCACGCCCACGGTCCTGAGGTGGGCCAGGTTGGCACCAGGGCGGGCAGGGCAGGGTGGGCGAGGGCGGGCGGCAGGTGTGCTGGACACTGTGGGTGGTGCCAGGGCCCCGTGGCAGGTGGGCAGGCAGACGGCTGGGTGAGCAGGGGCTGGACAGAGGTGATGAGCAGAGCGGCTGGGCGGGCACCTGATGGGGTCAGGGGGCCGGGCATGAGGGGAGGGTTGGGGGTGGGGTGGTGACAACCGGACACCAAGGCCCCAGGAGTGAGTTTGCAAAGGACAGGGACGTGGGCCTGGTGCTGGACGTGCGGGAGCCTCGGGCCCCGGAGACCCTCTGGGCTGCTCTGCCCTTCTGGGGAGGAGCAGTCCCTGCCCTCAGCCACGGTCAGTTGGCCCTTTGCTGGTCTATAGAAGGCCTCTCGGCAGGAGGCGCTAGCCATGGTGCCCTTGGCCATCTTGTTCCCTGCCCTTTCCAAGGGGCTGGTTCCTAGTAGGTGCTTAGTTAAAACAGCCAGCTCTGGGGCGGGTGGGGCCCCTGAGACTGGCCCTCCTGCAGGTCGGCCCCAGGGCAGGGAGCTCACTTAGAGTGGGGCGTGGTGAGGCAGTGGTCCCAGCCATCAGCCACCTGACCCCCTTCTCTTTACCCCAGGTCCACCTCCACTTCCTCGCCTGTCCGCCCAGCTGCCACATTCCCGCCCGCCACCCACTGCCCGCTGGGAGGCACCCTTGAAGGGGTCTACCCCACCCTCATGGAGCCTGTGTTGCTGCCCAAGGAGGCCTCCCGGGTGGCGCGGCCCGAGCGGCCCCGTGCGGACACCGGCCATGCCTTCCTCCCCAAGCCCCTGGCCCGTGAGCCTGCCTCCTCCCCTGGCAAGACCTCCGAGCCCCGGCCCCTCGCGCCCCCCAGCTCCAGCCATGCGGCGGCCATCGCCCGCACCCCAGCCAAGAGCCTCGCAGCCCAGCACGCCAGCCCGGACCAGCCGGCGCCGTCCGCCTCGGCCTCGGACCTGCACCGGGAAAAGACTCAAAGTAAACCCTTTTCCATCCAGGAAATGGAGCTCCGCTCTCTGGGTAAGACCACCCTGACAGCGGCCACCTTCATAGACGCGATAATCATGCGTCAAATTGCTCACGATAAAGGGCCGCGAGAAGGAGGTTCGCTGGCCGCCGACTCCCCTCGCGATGGTAAGCTCCCGGCCCCGCCCCCGCCACCTCGGGGGCCCAGAGACGTTTCAGATCTTTGCTTTTTATTTTCCCCCATTTTTTTTTCTTTTTTTGTTGTTGTTGGTTTTGGCATTTTGTTTTTAAGCCCATTCTTGTGGATTTGCACGCTCTGACAATCCTCAAGCTGCTGCCTGTCCCTCTGACCTGGGGACACCTCACCATTCGCACATTGTTTTATCATGATTTTTTATTATTTTTATTTTTATTTGTTTATATATTTTTTTGGATTTTCGCTTTCCCTTTGGTGGATGGACCTGTGGTTTGCACCGGGGCCGTGCCTGCATCTCCCCGCTCACGCCCTCATCTGGGGAGCAGGGCGGGAGGCCAGGGGCTTCGGCCTGGTGCCGTGCGTGGGCTCAGCTGGATTGGGAGGAAGCCCAGGAGGGAGATTCTGGGGAGGGGAGGGGGCCACACTGTCCAGGAGGGTCAGGAACCCCAGCTCTGTGTCCTGCCCGGTCGTGAAGGGGCCCGGGAAAGCCCGTGCCCAGCCCCGAGTGCCCAGAGGCCGGGGCGCCTCCACAGGCAGCCTCTCTGCTGCCTCTGGGCCCAGGCAGGGCTCCTGGGCTGGGCGTTGCTCCAACTGCCTGTTTGTCCCATGCTCCGCCCCACGCTCCTGCCCCGTCCCCTCTGTCTTGCCCTGAGTCTGACCTTCCCCCCCCCCCCCCCCCCCGCATCTGCTGTTTGGCTCTTACTTTGGTCTGTTTTTGTGTCCACTGGTCCCTGTAGATCCCCCAAGTGGGGGGTTATCTCCCTCGACCCCAGGTCCCTGTCTCGGGCCTCCACCCTGCCCCACGCCCCCTCCCCTTGACCCCAGGGGCCCAGCCAGCCGGGGGTCAGCTTCTCCCCTTGAACCCCAGTCAGCAGCCTGCACCTGAGTCCAGCTGCCTCCTGCAGGGTACCACGGTGGGTACAGCCCCGATGGGGTGGAGCCCGTCAGCCCAGTGAGTTCGCCCAGCCTGACCCATGACAAGGGGCTCCCCAAGCACCTGGAGGAGCTGGACAAGAGCCACCTGGAGGCCGAGCTGCGGCACAAGCAGCCAGGTGGGTCCCACCCACAAGACAGGAACAGCCCTGGCCTGTCTCTCAGCTGGCCCCAGGTGCCCCCGCCCCTGGCTGACTGGACTCTGCCCACAGGCCCCACGAAGCTCGGCCCTGAGGCTACCCACCTCCCACACCTGCGGCCGCTGCCTGAAAGCCAGCCTGCATCCAGCCCATTGCTCCAGACTGCCCCTGGGGTCAAAGGTCACCAGCGGGTGGTCACCTTGGCACAGCACATCAGTGTAACTACCTGTACTCTGCCCTCTGCACCTGGGGTGGGAACCAGGCCCAGGGAGGGGGAGGTCACATGGCCCTTCAGTCCTGGTGGGGTGGCCAACGGGGCGAGATCCCAGAGGCAGTGCCCACACCAGCCACTCCCGTGGCCACTTCTCTAGAAGTGCCAAGACCCTGCACAGGTCCTTAGGCTTTCGCATGTTGCTGGACAGCTGAGGCCAACCCACCCGGGGGCACTGGTTGGAGACCTCCAGCCCGCTCCCTGGCGCACAGGGCATGGAGGCCCGAGGCAGTGGGGCAGGTCCAGAGCCCCAGGAAGCTGAGCACTGAGCACAGCCAGCCCCTGGCACATCCGGAGGGGCTGGTGGAGGGCCTCCTAACCCCTGCCCCGCCTGCAGGAGGTGATCACGCAGGACTACACCCGGCACCACCCGCAGCAGCTCAGCGCACCCCTACCCGCCCCCCTCTACTCCTTCCCGGGAGCCAGCTGCCCCGTCCTGGACCTGCGCCGCCCACCCAGTGATCTCTACCTCCCACCCCCGGACCACGGCGCCCCAGCCCGCGGCTCCCCCCACAGCGAAGGGGGCAAGAGGTGAGCACAGGGTGGGGGCTGTGGGCACCTGGCCAGCGGTCTACTGCGTGGGGGGACTGGGAGCCTCCCTGTACCCCTGGGCGCAGGGACATCGCGCCCCTTGACAGGTGAGGAGACGAGGCCTGGGGAAGTGGTCACTGGCTCCTGGGACCTGCCCCCAGCACATGCGTGTGACCACAGGCCTGTGCACACTCCCACCGAGGGCTCCGGGTCTCCGTGGTGGCGGGTGGCCCCCAGTGGGGCGTGCCTTGCAAGTGAGGCAGATAGCAGGTGTCTCTGGGGAGCAGGGTGTGGGTGCCACCAGGGTCAGAGGAGAGGTCAAGACACATTGGCCTGCGGCCAGATCCAGCCCAGGACCTGCTCTGTGTGGCTCAGGAGCAGAGGTGGCTGGTGATGGACTCTGCTGCCTGGGCCACTCGCGGGAAGCGCATCCCGGCTGCCAGAGTGGAGACTGAGGGCAGGGGTGTCACTTTAGGAATGTGCTAACTATAGCTGGGACCCTCCCTTCACCCAGGTCTCCAGAGCCAAGCAAGACGTCAGTCCTGGGCACCGAGGATGGCATTGAACCTGTGTCCCCACCAGAGGGCATGTCAGAGTCAGGGCACCCCCGGAGTGCCGTGTACCCCCTGCTGTATCGGGATGGGGAGCCGGCAGAGCCCAGGTACCCTGGCAGCACAGGGCCCCTCAGAGATTATGACTTGGCCCCTCCCCCGCCATTGTCCTCTGCTGGTCCCTGCCAGTGGGGGTCAGCCGGCTAGGCTGAGTGACCTCAGGCCTGCCAAGCAAATGCCATAAACCTGGGGGGTGGGGTGTGTGCCCTCACTGGGGGACTAGGGTGGCAGTTCCTGTGCCCTGAGCTGGGGTCTCAGCTCAGACCAGGCCCGTGTCGCTCGCCCTGTTGAGGACCTGGAAGGTGGGCTAAGTGTGGTGGGCCAGTCAGGGGGCGCCAGACAGAGGTTCAGGCAGCCCCTCTGCCGTGGGCCTCCAGCAAGGGGGAGCGAGCCATGTCCTCAGGCAGGCCGCTGATGGCTGTCTGACCCTTGCTGCAGGACGGGCTCCAAGTCCCCAGGCAACACCAGCCAGCCGCCGGCCTTCTTCAGCAAGCTGACCGAGAGCAACTCGGCCATGGTCAAGTCCAAGAAGCAGGAGATCAACAAGAAGCTGAGCACGCACAACCGGAACGAGCCGGAATACAGTAAGGGAGCTGGGCCGCCCTGTAGTGGGCCCCAGTGAGGCCAAGCCCAGCACTGCTGACCCCTCCTGGGGTCCCCCTTCAAGGACCCTGGGAAGTCCTGTCCGCAGGTCCTTCCGCAGGCGCCCAGCAGCACAGATGCGGTGGCAGGAGTGGTGCGGGGCACCGGGGCTGGTTCCACCCACAGGGGCTGGGTGGCAGTGCCCCCTTGAGTGCTATGGGACTCCCGCACTTAGTGCAGAGGACCTCAAAGCCCCCTCTGCAGATGCCCGGCCGAGGCCAGTCCCTCCAGATCTGGCTGGCAATGTGGTGTCCTGGGGCCCCAGCCCAGCCCCAGGGTGCTCGCTGGGAGTGCAGGGTGTCACTGCTACCCCAGACCTGCAGCCTGTCTGAGGAGCATGGTCCCAGGTTATTGCCAGACCACGCAGGCAGGGGACAGGTGTGGGTGGCCATCTCCAGGACTGCGAGTAGCCAGCCTCACCCACCTTGTTGTCCCACTGCAGACATCGGCCAGCCTGGGACAGAGATCTTCAATATGCCCGCCATCACTGGAGCAGGTAACACACCCTGCGCTGGCCGCTGGCTGCCCACCTCCCCACCCAACCTCCACCCCAGCTGCTGCACGGGGACCAAGAGTCTTTCCTAGTTCAGGGGTGGCCCTCTTCCCAGTCCCCCCGCTGCCGTGAGGTCCAGAGTCCCACGGCAGGCACTCGAGCTATGGCTGCAATGAGGTGTCTTTGGAGTTCAAGGTCACGGTCCCGTGAGCTCAGTGGGCGCTGCCTGGAGATGGGTTTCTCTGGTGGAGGCTGCAGCGCCCGGACCAGGTGTGGGCCCAGGCAAGGAGCGAAGCCCTGGGGTCTTGGTGGGCACTTTCCATGGCTCGAGCCTCCAGTTTACTCACGAAATCAAGCAGGGGTGGGGCAGGGGACGATGGATGGACTTTTGCCAAATCAAATGCACACGTATGAATTGCTGGGTTGAAGCTCACATGTGTTTTTACACTGAAATTTAAGACTCCTATGATATTTTGTTGGATAGACTCTTCCCCACCCCTAGCCTCTAGTGGGGCCCTGTCCGAGTCCCACTGGGGGCCATGCCAGCAGGGTGGCTGGGCCATCCGCAGTTGTCTCTGTGGAAGGCAGAGGGGTGGGGCTTTGGTGAAGTACCTCTGAGCAGTGGCTGAGCCTAGGGCAGACTGGAGTGACCCCCTGCCGGCTGAGGAGCTGGGGTCTGTGGGGTTGGTTCCTGCATTTGCCTGGTATCACCCTCCTGGAGGGCAGGGGAGCTGTGCTGACCTTCTTGGTGGCCTAGAGCCCTAGACTGTGGTGAGCAGAGGACAGTGTTGGATGTTACCAGGGGCTCATTGGGGCCTCCAGAGGATGGTCCCCGGGACAGTGTCCATCTGCCCCTGCTAGAGACTCGTGCCCCAGGCACGAGGGGACAAGGGTTGTAGCAGCAGATGGTTAGACATGGCCGTTGGTGGGGTGAAGCGGGGCCCGTAGGTGTGGAGCATCGGAGCCGACAGTGCAGACTGTACCAGGGTTTTAAAAACATTCTTATCATTATTTTTTTGTTGTTGTTTCTTAAAAGCAGTTTAGTCCACAAAACCAACTTTCCCCAGGCCCTGGGCCCTGGGCCCAGGCTTCACCTTGGCAGATGGCCTAACTGGCTGCACTGGGCCCTGGCTCTGACCTGGAGGCCCAGCAGCTGCAAGGGGTCCCAGCGGCCAGCGCCCTTGAACCCAGGGAAGGACAGGGAAGTGAACAGCCATCTGCTGCCCCAGGAGCAGGGGCTTTAAAAGTGGCCCTTTGGCTCCAACCTCAGGAAGCTGTGAGCTAGTTTAAGACCAGTGAAGGGCAGCCGAAGCCCCACCTGTCCTGCACTGGGGGTTCCTCGGAAATTTTTGGAAGCAAAATGCCGAGGACAGAGGTGCCTGCAGGGGGCTGCAGAGAGGCCCCAGGTGGACGCAGAGGCCCAGGTGGACGTGTGGATGAGGGAGGGGGGAGGCCTGTGGCTCAAGAGGAGGCCCAGCGGGACCACACAGAGGGCCTCCGTGGCCGGCGCGCTGGAGCCCATGTGTTGATGGCCATTGTGTCCCATGGGGGGCTGTGCCAGTGGGGTGGCCAGGCCGTCCGCAGTTGTCCCCAGCTCCACCCTGTCCCCGCACGCACATAACTGCATGGCTATGACCCCTCTCCTCGCGCCCGTCTTTGCCCTTCTTTCTTTGGCTCTGGGTGGGGAGAGGGGAGCGGGCAGAGTCAGGCCCAGCTGGGGGCATCAGCAGGGACAGCGGGCCCCAGGCCTCTCAGGGGAAGGGCACAGGGAGGACAACCAGTCACTTCCCTCCCTAGGTCCCTTCAGTCCCACCACCTAGACCTCAGGCCGGGTCTCCCCGCCCCACCCCGTCCTCTGTCCTCTGGCTCTGGCTCCACCAGTGTCCCCGCGGCCCCACCCTTCCCAGTCCCACCTTTCCTCTTAGGGCCACTGGGAGTCACAGCAAAGCAGCCCAGCTAGCCGAGGCCGAGGGCCGTCTGCCCTGCCAGTCCGGCCTGCCCAGGCGCTGGAGGCAACCTCACCCTGCAAGAGGAGCGGGAGGTGGAGGGCGTTGCTTTGCAGAAATGTGCTCACGTGTCTCTCCCCGGCCGCCCCGTGTGTGGCCGCCCTCTGTGTGCGTCTGTCTGTCTCCCCCAGGCCTTATGACCTCTAGAAGTCCGGCCGTGCAGGAGCACGCCAGCACCAACATGGGGCTGGAGGCCATTATTAGAAAGGCACTCATGGGTAAATATGATCAGTGGGAAGAGCCCCCGCCACTCGGCGCCAATGCTTTTAACCCTCTGAATGCCAGTGCCAGCCTGCCCGCTGCCGCTATGCCCATAACCGCTGTTGACGGACGGAGCGACCACACGCTCGCCTCGCCAGGTCTGCAGGCCCCCCGCCCCTCTGTCCCGTCCCTGTGTCCTTAATCCTCTGAGCCCCCCCCCCCTTGAGCTTTGGAGCTTGTGACTATTTTGTGCGCATTTGATGTCTCTGGAATTTGCTGATCTGCAGCTGGGCTGGCACCTGGGGTTGCGGCACCCAGTGCCCACGAGGCCCGGGCCTGCTGCTTCTCGGACGCTCACTGCTGCCCACGGCTGCCCCCGCCCCCGCTGGGCCTCTGCCCGTGCCCGCGCCCAGCTTGCGTCTCCCTGGGGAGACCAGGCTGCAGGGAGGACCTTCCTGTGCTGCGTGGACAGTGGGGTCAGCAGCCAGGTCCCCTGCATGTGGCCTGATGGTCCTGGGGCTGAAGGGAAACCCACATTCCTATCGTGCCCAAGAGCCTGAGGGCCAGCTCCCTGCCCTGTTAGGACCTGCCTTTCTCAGCAGGGAGCCGAGCAGGGACTTTGGGCTCAGTGTCCAACCTGGACACTGAGGCTCCAGGAGGTTCTGGACTCTTAGGGTCAGGCCTGGCCTCAGGGTCCGGCTTCTTGGCAGAGGCCTGCAGCCCACCCAGCCCCAGTGCCATTCTGGGCAATGTTCAGGGTCCAGCGGAGGCTTCCTGCCCAGAGTTCTAGCCCCAGGGTGTGGGGAGGTGCAGGGCAGCCTGAGGGGCCAGCAGCCTGGACTCAGTGGAGACTGATCCCCAAGTTGCAGGCCCATACTGGGTCTGGCCATCTGGTCGACCTTGGCCTCCTGGAGGCAGGGAGTCATCGTGCTCCTGGCCTCTCCTTGGAGGACCCAGAAGCAGGTGGCTTCCCCTGGGCAGGATGTCACCCCCACCCTCTGCAGCATGTGTCATCTCCAGTGTCCAACACAACCCTTCCCACTTTGTCCCCTTGTAGGTGGTGGTGGGAAAGCCAAGGTCTCTGGCAGACCCAGCAGTCGAAAAGCCAAGTCCCCTGCCCCGGGCCTGGCGTCCGGTGACCGACCACCTTCTGTCTCCTCGGTGCACTCAGAGGGAGATTGCAACCGCCGGACGCCACTCACCAACCGTGTGTGGGAGGACCGGCCCTCATCCGCAGGTGGGCATCGGTCGGCCATGGGGCCTGGGGAGGGAGGGCCACTGAGCACGGTGCAGGCCTGGCCAGCTGTGTCCTGGCGGCTGACGGGCACAGGCTAGGACCCAGTGTAACTGGGGCTGCCAGGGAAGCCACAGACCAGGCTGTGGGAGCAGGTGTGGCACCGGGCTTGGCAGGCCGCAATGGAGCTGGACATCCCTCTGTGGCCACCGGGGAGCTCTGCAGGCCTTGAGTAGCGAATGGGTGGTCTGGGGATGCCGGAGGGGTCCCGGGCCTCAGGGGAGCAGACCGTGGGGCACAAGTCACTGCTGCCATCCAGGTAACCGAGGTAGAGGCCTGGGGGTCAGGAGTGTGGAGCCGAGGGCAGACAGTGGAAGGCCTAGTCCAGGGCAGTGGCCGGGCCTCCTGAGCAGCTGCCTGTCTTTGCCGCAGGTTCCACGCCTTTCCCCTACAACCCCCTGTTCGTGCGGCTGCAGGCGGGTGCCATGGCTTCCCCTCCTCCGCCCGGCTTCCCTGCGGGCAGTGGGCCCCTCGCTGGCCCCCACCACGCCTGGGAGGAGGAGCCCAAGCCTCTCCTGTGCTCGCAGTACGAGACGCTCTCCGACAGCGAGTGAGCCGGTGGGCACGGTGCAGGTCCCCGCCCGTAGCAGGACGGCCCAGGAGGCAGACAGGTGGCTGCGACGCACCCCACCAAGGAAGGAGCCCCGAGTCTGCCCATGCGTCCGTCTGTCCGTCCGTCTATCCACCCGGAGCTGGCATCCTGCCTGTCTAAAGCCTTAACTAAGACCCCCCACCCTGGCTGGCCCTGCACAGTGACCGTACTCAGGGCACGTTCACCTGGTGCTCGGGAGGGGAGGGGAGGGCAGCAGGCCGGGGAGGGGACACAGTGGGCGCATGGTGACCACAAGCACGCAGCCGGGGTGACCAGGGACCCGAAAGAGGATGACCAGGCGCCTCCATGCCACTGCCTCCCCTTTCTCCATTTGGAACCAAAGTCTAAACTGAGCTAGCCCCCGCCCCCATCCTGCTTAGTGCTCGGGACAGACGGACGGGCACTGTCCAGCCTGCAGCGCTCTGTCAGTCCCCATAGGCTGCCCCACAAGACTGCTGGGAACCACGTCAGACCAGGCGGAGGACGAGAGGGCTGGGCGCAGCCTGGGGCAGCAGAACCACAGGACCTGGATGTGGCCCTCTCGCCCACGGGGGGGGGGCGGGGCGACGTGTTGGTTTACAGGGTATATTTTTGATACCTTCGATGAATTAATTCAGATGTTTTATGCGAGGAAGGACTCACCCAGTATTATGCTGCTGTGCTTTCGATCTCCGCTTACATTGGGGAGCGTGCAGGCCGACCACCGGTGACCCCTCGTCCACGGGACCCGGGGCGGCCGCCGGCTCACAGCCGCCACGCCCTCCATCCCTCCCTTCCTTGGGCAGAACGAGTTTGATGCGTGTTCTGTGGCCACCATCTGCGCATGGTGGTGGCCTTATGTCATTTACACACGTTGTTCTAATTAAAAAGCGAATCATACTCGATACAGAAGTGTCTTTTCTGCTTTGGACGGGGCAGCCAGAAGGGCGTGCAACTGGGGGCCAAGGGACACTAGGAGTATCCCCTTTGACTCACCCTTTGCCACGAGAAAGGCAAGGGAAGGGTGTCATCCTCGGGGCATTGAAAAGTCACATCAGGTGCAGTCACGTGGTGAAGGCGCATGGCACTTGCCCACGGCAGAGGTGTCAAGTGTTTACACCGGGGTGACCCCTGGAGGAGGTGCCCAGCATCCACACCTTGGTCAGCTGTGGTGACAGGTCCCCTATGGCTGTTGGTCCTTAGGTCTTCTTGTCACGCCTGCCCGCTGCATTGGTGCTAAGGAGTGGGCAGCCTTCCCCACACTCACTTCCAACCCCGGGCGGAGGGGGGCAGCCGCCAGCTCCTGGTCCACAGCTGCCCACCTTTGCAGATTCAGCCTGAACCAGCCCCAGCGCCGATCTTCCTCGGCCTAGCCTGGCTTCTGCCCACCTCTTGCTCTTTCCTTTGGCCTCCGTGGAGCCCTGCCCAGCCACCCTGCCCCGGGACTGACCAGGCACGTGGGCAGAGGACAGCCAGGGAAGCCCAGGGCGGGCTGAGAGGATGAGCACCCCGGCAGTGTCCGCCAAGGGGTGGCTCTGCTCCTCCTGCCCAGCACGGGAGTCCCAGGTCATGGCACCCAGCCAGCCATCGCCCTCAGCCTCCGAGGCCCAAGCACCCCAGGATGTTAGCCTCAGCCCACTTGGGGACAGATGGCCCCCTGTCCCCAGAAGGAGGCCCACCTGGCCCGGTGGCTGGTTAGCAGGGCCACCATGTCTGGCCTGGGTCAGGGGTCATGCAGCTGGAAAGCCGCTTCCGAGGCTCCCCGGGGAGGACGGCCGTGCCTGTGCCAGTTCCTGACTCCAGCCTCCCATTTGGCCCCACAGAGACCAAACCTCGCAGGGCCTTGGGGGACCACAGAGGAGAGCCTAGGTCCCCTGAAGAGAGAAATCGTCACCCCTGCCCAGCCTCTGTTGTCAACCCCAGCCTTCAATGCCGGGCCCAGTTTCGGCCACTGCTGTGGTGGGGACCTGAGGGCCTCAGACCCATGCAGGCCTGGCCTCCAGGTGTGGCGTCCACCTCAAGGGCTTTATTTCTCTTTTGCAGAGAGAGGATCCCAACGCCTCCTGACGGGGATCAGCCTGCTCCCCAGCTATAGTACCAAGGTGGCAGGCAGGTGGCAGTGTGGGCTCCCTGGCCCTCTTCCTCCGCACACACCAGCCCCCTGCAGGGGTCCAGATGGGTCAGGCCCAGCTGGCCACACCAGCTGCCAGGGGTTGGCCCCTCCCTCATTGTGGTGCCTCCGGGACCCCATGGCACCTCCCTCGGCTGCAGTCAGAGCTGTGTGGGGACAGACCAGAGGCCAGCCACAGGGCATCTCCATCTGCCTTCTCTGAAGGACGGTGGCCCAACCCACTACAGGGTGTATGGGCAGGATGAGGAGTGATCTGGTGCCACCTGGTTGACGGCTATCTCCCAGCTGCATCCAGCGGGAGGCCATTCCACAACCCCTGTGGACTCTTCCTCCCTCCATCTTTAAAATGCAGACTTATGCAGTTCCCCTCACCTTTGTCTCCCAGGAAAACTCCTAGGCACACTTCAAAACCCAATAGGGCATTATGTCCTTGAACTCACCGCCCCCCTCACGTCCTCTCAGCACAGGGCAGGCTGTGCCCATCACACCAGGTAGAACCCCCGGGGGTGGAGTAGAGCTCATCTCTTCCCCTCCTGACCCTGTATTTTGCTCCAAACCTCTTGCAACCTCCAAACAACAGAAAATTAGTGCTTCATAGAGGACAGCTGTGGGCAAATGTCACCATATTCTAGGACATTGGGAAGTTGGCAGAAATGAGATTCCTGCCCCACATGGACGGTAGGGAACCCCAGGTCTGGAGCGGGGCTGGAGGGTTGTCTGGAGCCCCCTCTATGACGGTGGGTGTGGTGCCCAAGGTTGGAGCTAGACCCTCACCTGGGACCTGGCCTCTGCCTCCCCGTCTGAGCAGGTGACTACAGGAAAGGCACGGGGCTCTGCAGGAGAAGGCCTGGTGTGGGAGTGGACAGGCCTCCAGGCCCCAGGGCCTGCTGGGTGCAGTCAGGATGCCCTCCCGGGGGTGGCAGTCTTGGGGAGAGATGGGTTGAGACAACCCTGTGTGGGATAGGCTCAGGTGAGGCTCAGGTGGGGACGGTTTGGAGACCAGGTGACCAGATACCGGCCAAGTTGGGGGACCCAGTTTCTAAGAAAGGGCCAGCTGTTGCTCAGAGAGGTCATTTTCTGGTTTTCCAAAAATGCCACCTGCATCTTATGCATTTAACCAACCCAGTGGGAGGGCTGGGGTGAAGCTCCCAGGAGCCGTGGACCTGGGACCCCTGGACATGGGACTCCTGGACGTGCAACGGAGGACAGCCTATCCCAGACCCAGCGCAGCTGTGTGCCAGAGCTCTTGCGACTCGGCCCAGGGGTCAGCTGCCAGCACTGCAAAAATAAAGGACTCCTAGGCTACCCTCCCGGGGAGGGACCTGGCCTCTGCGTCTGTTGGTCAGCCCTCTGGTGGGGGTGACACTGAGGCTGGCTATCAGCAGGATAGGGGTGAACTTGCTTCCTGTCCCCCAGGAGTAGGGTCCCCGAGAAACTGGGTGGGGCCAGGGGAGATTTGACCCAGGGACACCTGGCTTCCCCTTCCCTACCCCAGCGGTGCCTGCCGGAGGGTCTCAGACACAGTAGAGGAAGCCCCTTGGGGTTTGCACGTTTTATTACGATAATCAATTGACTTCTTAAGTTATCTGTCAATCAGGGAGGTACCTTGGGACTTGCTGTCTGCATAGATATATAAAAATACATCGGTTGCTTGGCTTCGCCTCCGGGTGCCCCTCCTGGCTCCTGGGGGGTGGGCTGCAGCCCCAGAGGCCCTTCCCCTCTGCTCCTGGGGGTTCCCAGGGGAGCAGCAGGCAGCCAGCCGCCCACCTACTGGGTGCCTTCAGATCTGGGGAGGAAGGTTCAGGGGGACATCTGTGTGACCACAGCAGGGGCCTCTGGGGTGTGGGTTCAGTGGCCCAGGCGTGGCCCCATGCCACCTGAGGTGTCCCAGGGAGCCGGAGCAGAGCAGCATGGCTGGGCTCCTGGCTTTCAGAATCACGTGGTCAGCTGGAGCCTTGGCAGGAATGGACATGGCCCCGCGTTTCACCTTAAGCAGACAGCAACGCTCAGAGCCTGGAGTCCAGACTGGCCTTGGGTAGGGCTCAGGACGTTCCCAGGAGCTTGAAGCCTCCCCCGGCACCTGGCAGATGGCTTTGAGGTCCCAAAGTCCCAGCGCTGAGGGCGACGGTGGTGCGGCAGGTGCTGGCTGGGGCCTCCCTGCAGTGAGGCTCAGGGTATGGAGGCTAAAGGCCTCCTTGGCAGGCAGGGCCCTGGACTGTCCACACTGGCGGCCACAGGACCCTGGGTGGCAGCGGCTCAAGGCACATTCCAGGACGCCCTGCCCCAGGGAACCAGCACCAGCCTGGGCCTTAGCGCTGGACTCTTCTATCTCCCGCTCAATGGCCTCCAGAGCTGGTGCTGGGCTGGGCTGGTCTCAGGGCCACTGGCCGCGTGGGCTGTACCACTGAGAGGCCCCTGTTGGAAAGCGCCCTATCTAGGGGCGGGGCGGGCGTGGGTGGCACCGCTGTGCCCTCACACAGCCCCAGAGCGGCGTCTGCGCGGCCGGGGACACCTTTACGCCCCGCAAGGACAGCCAGGTGGCCCCTCCCTCCCTGGAGCGGCCGCCACGTGCTCCTGCTCGGCTGGCGGCCGGCGTAGCGGGCTGGGCGCGGGCTTCGGGCGGCCTAGGGCGCGGGCGGGGCGCAGAGCCGCAGCTGCACGCTGGCGGTGAAGGAGCGGCGCGCGCGGCCCAGGCTGCAGCGCAGGGTGGTGCGGAAGGAGCTGCGCGCGCGCTTGGGGAAGATGATGGTGGTGCTGCGGAAGCGCAGGGCGCGCGGGCGCGGCTCCAGGGTCAGCTGGCTGCGGTAGCTGCGCCACGTGCAGTTGGGCGCCGCCACGATGGTCTCGCTGTAGGCCGTGACCGTGGGCACAGGCGCGTAGAACACTTTGTCGCGGAAGCGCCTCTCGGAGGAGAACTGGACCTCAGAGCTGCAGCTGGGGGCGGGAGGGAGGCGTGAGCCGGGAGGCGGCCCCGTGTCCCCCACCCAAGGACCCCTGGACCGGCGAGGCCGAGGTCAGGAGGATGTCACAGGCAGGCCGAGCGGCTGCCCCAGGAGGGGACGACCCAACGCCTCACAGGAGCCTGCGTGGATCCTGGACTGGCATGAACCAGCGTGATTGGGGCTGAGGACACTGGACTTACTGGTTTTGACAACAAAGCTGCTGTCATGGGGGAGTGTCCCTGAATAGGGTCACAGGGCAAGGTGGGACCTGCCCTCTCTCATGCCTCTGGAAGGAGGGAGGCAGGAAGACACCCAATCTGGGGCCTGCTGAGCACGGGGTGGGGGGGGGGCGCGAGGTGTTCGCACAACTTCCAATGAGTTTATCAAAGATGTCCCAGAAGGTCCCCTGGGGCCCCCAGAGGAGTGACAGCCTCAGTGACTGACCCCCGCCCCAGTTGCCCTTCTAGACGTCTTGGAATTGAGCCAGAAGCACAGGCTCCAGGAGGGGCCATGGGCAGGGGGCAGCACCCAGAGAGAGGGGCCTGCAAAACCCCAGGCTGGCCTGGACCCACCCCACCCCAGCCAGGGCCAGCACCCCTGCCCCACTGGGCTGTGACCCACTCACCAGATTTCATGCGTGGGCTCCGGGTCCACCTTGATGCTCTCCCCAAAGAACACCGGCAGCATCCGGGGCCTCATCTCGGGGGCCGGGGGGTTCTGCAGGGGGGCAGAGGGCTGCGGAAGGTTCATGGGCAGGGGCCCCACAGCCCTGTGGCTGGACCTCAGCTCCCTGCTGGGCACAGTCTGGCCACCCGACCCCTTCCAGCCCTGGCTTGGTCTGGAAGCTGCATTGTGGGCTCTGTTGAGAAGTCACCCCAGTGTCCCTCTGCCCCAGCACACCCACCTGGACCCACCCTTCAGCCTGCACCCCATTCCTGGACATCTCAGGAAAGGGGACACAGTAATGTTCCCACTGCCACCCAGGCCCCAGCAAGCCCCAGTACCAGGCTCAGAGGCCTGCAGGACGGGAACAACTCTTAGGCGCCCTGTGGGTGACACCCTGTGAGGACCAAGAACAGTGTTCCTCGGAGACCAAGTGTCCCTGGTACCACCTGAGGCTGCAGCAGGCTCCAGAGGGGTAGGGACCCCACTGAATAGGTGTCTGGGCTTCATCTGCCGGGGAAGACACAGGGGAACCCCCAGCACTGAGACAGGCACAGGAAACCAGTAGGAAGTCTTGGGCAGTGACTCTCTGGTTTTGCCTACCCAGCATCCACCTCTCCCAGAAAGAGCCTGTGTCTTCTCCAGGACCAGGTTAGCTTTAGCGATGGCCTGTGGCCCACGTGTGACCAATGAGAGGGCTACCCAGGTTTTCTGCCAGAGAAGACCCCAAGTGACGAAGCAGACAGAGGGTGAATGACCAACTTGCCCCCATCAGAGAATGAAGCAACACCAACGGGCAGTGTCCAGCACAGGGGTGAAGACAAGACACCATCCCTGCATGAAGAGGGGACACCAGGCCATGGGCACCCTGTTCCTCCAGGCTTCTGCCTTCCTGACTGGTGTCCACCCCAGGGCTGTAGAGGCCGACGGGTCACCACAGCTCCCGTAAGTCAGGGCCAAGCCACGGCTATAAGGTGGGAGCCATACCCTCCCCGCTGAGGGGCATTGCACAAATACCAGGTGCTCGCTGGGTACCTGCTGCGTGCTGGGGCCTGTGTGGTGGCCAAAAGAACAGCACCTCCCAGGGCTGTCCTCCTGCAAGAGGGAGTGGCCCCATGTGGCCCCAGGAGAGGGGCAGGGGCCAGGCTGGCGTGGGGCGAGAACGGGGTTCAGAGGCGTTGGAGGTGCAGGCGGAGCCGCGGCTCCCTGGGCCTCGCTGCAGATTCCCCCACAGACGGTCACACCATGGTCAGCCGCGACTGGCCGTTCCCAAGCCTCTGGTGCCTCTGGTGCGGCTGCAGCAGGCTGGGTGAGGACAGCCACCTCCCGCCGGCTGGGTCTCCCCCACCCGCTGCCAGGCCGGCAGACAAGGCTCGATTCACAGGCTGGGCCCGGGGCCGAGCTCTGGGCGCCACCTTCCAAGGGGCCCCCGCTGGAAAAACATCTGGGACCTGCCCACACCGGAGGCCGCCATCAAGATACGAGAAGCCTGTGAAAATCGGGCGCAGGCTGGAGGCCCGGCTGGCCAGACGGCTCCCGAAGTCCTCGCTCAGGACTCCAGGGACCGTCCCCAAGAGGAGAAGGGCAGACACGAGGCCTCGGGGGAGTTTGGGCTGAGTGGCCCATCAGCTGGGCCCCTGGACCCACCCGGCCAGTGGGCAGAGTGGACCAGGAAGGCACGCCGAGGCCCCAGCAGGACAGCCAGCCACCCTGGAACGGGACACCCCTCGGGGATGGTCACGGTCCCTTGGAGCACGGAGTTGGGCCCACACAGGGTGGGGACGCACCCCCGGGCTGCCTGCTGGGCCCTGCTCCCTGGCTGCGGCACCAAAGCTCCTGGACAGGCCCAGCCCAACCCCTGCCCAGGCGCCTGTCCCCAGCCAGGTTATTCTGTCCTGAAGAGAATCTGCTGAGCTCCTTGGCTGTCACCCACCGAGCGGGGCTTGGTCATTCATGACGGGAGGCAGTGCCATCGTGAGGACCCACGGGGGGCTGTGCGAGAGGCATGGGGCCCAGACTGGCCAGCTCCCTCGTGGGTCTGCGTCCCAGGGCAACACCGGGTGCAGGGACATAGAGGAACAAATGGCCGGCAGCCAGACGCTGGCCCCTCTCCCCTCCCCCAGTGCCACCTTCCTGCCTCCACCCCCACTGTCCCCTGAAGGGACCCCTGCAGCTGGCTCAGACCCTGGTCTCAGCTGCCTGCTCCAGGCTGGGCCAGCCAGGCCTGCCCTCCCCCTGGGCACCAGGAGAGTGTGGGGCCCCAGGGAGGTCAGAAAGGGAGCGGGCCCCAGGGACACGGCTGAGGGCCAGTGCCCTGGCCTGGTGACTTAGGTGCCCTCCCGCAGCCCAGGACAAGAGCGCAGGTGGCTAGGAGTCCAAGCACACACAGGGCTGTGGAGGTTCAGCCGGGCCGCCGGGCCCAGGCCACGGGCCACAGCCAGCAGGGGACATAACCAGGCCACAAAATGACAGCCCTGCCAGGCCAGAGGTCCTGGCCTCACCCAAGCCACATGCAGCCTCGGCAAGGGCTCGAGTGGCCTTGCTCAGGCAGCATGGCTTCGTGGCTACAGGGATCAACTGTGACATGCTTGGCATGTGTGAAAGGTATTTCTTTTGGGGGGGTGGGGTAACCCCTGAGCCGCATGGCCCAGCCCTATTTCTTGAATTTTATTTAGAGACAGGGTCTCACTGAGTTGCTTAGAGCCTCACCTTGGCTGAGGCTGGCTTTGAATTCACTATCCTCCTGCCTCAGCCTCCCGAGCCACTGGGATGACAGGCGTGTGCCCGGCTACAGAAGGTATTTTGGGACCGAGGGCTCATGTGCAGAGCTATAGTTGGCCTTGACCTGTCCCCACAAGGAAAAGGAAGCAAAGGGAGGGCTACTGAAGCACCACAAGTCCCTGTCCCCCCTTTGTAGGGCTTTGGCTGTGGACAGACCCTGGGCCTGGGGTCGGGTCTTCTCCTCTCCCTCCCATGGCACCTCGGGCAGCCACTGGGGGCCGTGAGGAGTCCAGGAGGCCCAGAGGACCATGCTGCACCCGGAGAGCCTCGAGGCCTCAGGGGATATGGAGCTCAAGTCCCCAGGCTCTGACACCAGGAAGGAGACAGCACACAACCCCTGGGCCGGGAGGAGCACCAGGGTGGGCTCGCTCCCCAGGGCAGGCAGGCCAGAGGGACAGCCATGTCCCCAGGGCCCACTCCTTTCTGACCCCCACAAAGGTACGTCCGGTCCTGAGCCCCTGCAGAAGTGACCTTTGGAAACAGTCTGAGAAGAGGGGACTGAGGTCTGATGAGGGCATCCTGGGTTAGAGTGGCCCTCAGCCAGTGGCCAGCGTCACTGGTCATTGGCTCAGGGTGAAATTGGCCGAAGGACACACAGAGGGAAGAGGGCCGTGTGGAGGCGGCAGAGATAGGCTTGGTGCACCTACAGGCCAAGGATGGCCAGTGGCCACCAGGAACCAGGACATGCGTGGGACACCTGCTCCGTTATAGCCCTCAGGAGCCTGGCCCTGCCACCCGAGTCAGACCTGGTGGCCTCTGGAGCCATGAGCATGGGGCACTCTGTGACAGCAGCCTGTGGCAGCGGGATGGGCACCCGCAGGGTCTGCCGGCCAGAGGTGGGCCACCAGCCCAGGGCCCCAGGGTCACCTTCTGGGTCAAAGGGCTTGGGCAGAGTCTCCCAGAAGACTCAGAGCATGGCCATTTCCAGAGGTAAGGGAGTGGCCGGGCGGCTGCAAGACCACAGCCCGCTTCTCGCACCAAAGAAAGTGCACGTCACCTGCTGCCACCAAGGGGCCCCGTGGCACCTCAGCACCCTGCGGTTCAGATATGGCCCAGACGGTGTCGCTGGCTCAGGGGTCGCCCCCAGCCAGGAGGCCGGGAGGACTGACCACACCTGCCCGGAGAGTCAGGGCAGGCCCTGTCAGCAACATCGTTCCCATGACAGTGGCTCCTGCCCATATCCTCATCCCAGGGCACCCTCAGAGTGTGACCTGTCGGTCTTCTTTTCACACTAAAGCCACCAATAAAACCGAGCTTCAGACAGGAGAGCCTGCTGCAGGGAGCTGGATGGTCAGGGACGTGGCTGACTACCTAAAGGATGCCAGTTCCCCGGGGAAGAAGCAGACGGGCTGAAAGGAGGCGTCAGTGTCCATTCTCCTCCCCTCCGTCTTCACAGTGTCCCTTCCTGCAAACGGCTCCTCCCACCTGGGTCCAATACACCTGGTTCTCTTCCAACACCTGCGCTGGCAGGCTCCGACACCTGCGCTGGCCAGGGACCCCCCTGTGGGCCTACTGGGGCCATGGGGCGGACTGATTCCTGTCTTCTTAGTCTTCCCATCCACCCGTCCATCCATCCACCCACCTATCCACCCGACCATCCATCCACCCACCAACACATCCACCCATCCATCCACCTATCCACCTGTCCATCCATCCATCCATCCATCCACCCACCCATCCACCCGTCCATCCATCCACCTACCCACCCACCCATCCATCCATCCACCCACCCATCCATCCACCTATCCACCCACCAATCCACTCGCCCATCCATCCATCCATCCATCCACCTATCCACCCACCTATCCACTCGTCCATCCACCCACCCATCCATCCACCTATCCACCCACCTATCCACTCGTCCATCCATCCACCCATCCATCCACCGGTCCATCCACCCACCCATCCACCTGTCCATCCACCCGTCCATCCACCCACCCACCCATCCATCTGTCCATCCACCCACCCATCTATCCATTCATCCATTCACCTGTTAATCTGTCCATTCCATCTGTCCATTCATCTACTCACCCATCTATCCACCCATCCTTCCCTTTATCTGTCTTCCCATCTGTGTTCATTTGTCCACTCATGGGCCATCTGTTTTGGTTTAGATGTGAGGTGACCCCCCAAGGCTCGTTGTGAGACAGGGCAAGAATGTTCAGAGGTGACATGACCGGGGGTGGGAGCCTTAACCTAATCCGTGGGTGTCCCTCTGGTACGGCTACCTGGGCAGTACCTGTGGGCAGGCAGGGTGTGGCTGGAGGAAGGGGTCACTGCAGGTGCCTGTGGAACTCATGTTCTGTCCCTGGTGAGCGCAGCTCTCCCTGCTTCCTGGTGCCACGTCCTGAGCTGCTCCCCCCACCCCCACCACGATGTCCTGCCTCACCCAGGCCACGGCAGTGGAGCCGTCCACCACGGACAGAGCCTCCGACACCGTGAGCCCGGATCAACGTTTCCTCCTCTGTGCTGTCCTGGTCAGGCCTCTTGGTCACAGGGAGGCAGAGCTCACTGGCACCTCTGACCTCCCATCCCAGCCCTGACTCCCCGTTCCCTTAGCCTCTCCTGTCATGCCTGGCCTGGCCATCTCAGGCCACAGACGGATGGATGAAGGGACCCAGGGGTCCCGAGTGTGACAGTCAGGCCACCAGCTGAGAGATCTTCAAGGGTGGGGAGGGCGCCAGCCCCGCCAGCTTTCCCCCTAGTCTGACCCACAGGTCGCTCTCTATGGCAGGGACGGGGACAGCCAGCGCCTCGTCCTCTGGGGAACCCTCAGTGCACCCCTGAGGAGAGAGGGTTGGGAAAGAACGCCATGTGCACCAGAGCACCCGGTGACACCAGGCCACAGCAGCTGGAGGAACCCAAGGTGAAAGGACTCTCGCCTCCGAGTCGGAGAGGGGGTCGAAGCTCACCTGTCACCTCCAGGGTGTGTCAGTGCTTGGCTACCTCGGGGGAGCTGTGCACCCCAGAGAGCTCCAGGCCAGATCCCAAGCGCCACCTGCAGTCTCCCCGAGGACGGTGAGACAGGGCATGGACGTGGGGAGATGGGCATCGGCCCCAGGGTCCTCCCGGCTCCTCAGCCAGCCTGGCGCCCGCAGCTCTGCAGGCAGGTCGCAGCAGTGGGGGAGGACAGGGACGCTCACTCCGTCTGGGATTCCAGCGCCTGTCTGTGGGTGCTGTGCCCCTTGCCTGGCTGGGTGGACATCAGTGATCCAAACACAGCTGGCAGACACCCCGGGCCCAGCTCTTCGTCCTGGGCACGCAGTGCTCAGCCCCAGGTGCCCTGCACCAGCACCCCCCAGGGGTGGGGGCTGCTGACACTTTTAAAAGAGCACAGTCACCACACAAAATGACCCGCGGGGGGGTTGATTTCAGCCTCGGCTCAACCTGGAGGTCTCCCACCCCCTGGAGCTCACCTCCAGCCACCCGGCCTCCTGGCCATTGTCCTGCACTGAGACGCACTCCAGTCCTGTCCCAACCCACTGTGGAGTTTAGTCAAGTGTCCCTGCCCTGGCCGCCTGCCAAAACTGTGGCACCTGACCCAGTTTCTGTCACAGACATGCAAGTCACTCCATCTGACCCCTCGTAGAAGGCCAGTTCCTGAGGGCAGGGACCTTGAATGCCTGTGCACTGCCATGTCCCCGAGCCTCGCAGGGCTCACTGAGGTGCTCAGTAGGTAACTGGTGGGACACAGGACCAGCCCCAGGTCTCTGGTTTGGGAGTCATCAGGAAGGTGCCCATCTGTGCTTCCAGCATGAGCAGGAAAATGTAGTCTACAAGGGAAGGAGCCCCCTTATCCCCAGCCTGGTCCCTAATGCCATCTATGTCCTGGGGACAATCTGGAAGCTCTGGATCAGCAGGGGACTGTCCAGAGGGCAAGTCCAGCTTATCAAAACAAAGTAAGGGCAGGGCAAGGTAGACATGCCTATAATCCCAGGGGCTCAGGAGGCTGAGGCAGGAGGATCGTAAGTTCAAAGCCAGCCTCAGCAACTTATCCAGGCCCTAAGCAACTCAGTAAGACCCTGTCTCTAAATAAAATATATAAAGGTCAGGGGTGTGGCTCGGTGGTCAGGTGCCCCTGGGTCAGTCCCTGGTACCTTAAAACAAACAAATGAATACAGTGGGGAAACTGATGAAGTGAAGCTCGGTCAACTTTAACAGGCGCGTCCAGCACCATGAAGCAGTGGACCAGCTGCTGAGGACTTTAGTGGCCAGGGCTGGAGGACAGGACAGCAGCTCCCCTGGCCAGGGTGTGGGCCACCAACTTGGATCAGGCAGGCAGTGCCCACCAGTAACTAATATCAGCCCTGTGTGGAGTGACACAGGGCCGAGGAGATGCAGAGGAACCTGGCTGGCTCACCACCTCCTCCCTGGGCACCTGGGACAGTCGACTGGGACACAGGGCGGTCTAGGTGCCTTCCTCCTCAAGGGGAACCCAGCAGCAGATAGTCTGCCCACATCTGCGCCTGGGAGGGTCTGGGAGCCACCAGCGAGTGAGGTGCTACTGAGCACCCGATCGGCAACTCCAGTGACCAAGAGGTGGGGGCCCCGTGGTTGGGCACAGGGTGGTGGGTGGGGCCACATCTGCCGGGGAGCCCCGAGGCTGAGGGGGTTGCCCATGGCAACCACTTCCTCTCTTTTTATTAAATGCAACTTCTCAAACCTGTAGGCGCATTTGTCTTTCTATTGAGAAATTTTAAGAGGTAATTAATTAGCTACACCGTGAAAAGGCAGGGGGACCTCGGCTCAGGGGTGGACCCTGGAGTCAGGCTCCCGGGTGGCTCCAGCCCAGCACAGCCTTCTTTGAAGTTCTGCAAGTTTCTCACTTTCTCTGTGCCTCAGGGTCCCCTCTGGAAAAACTAGAACAAAAGGAGTGAGTCCACTCCCAGGAATGCTGAGAAGGTTCCGGAGATGATGCAGATCCAGGGTTGGGGACAGCACCTGGCCTGGAGCAAGGGCTGCCCAATTGCTAGGGTTCATTACTGGTACAGAAGGGGCCCCAGGCTTTAATTTGCAGCCAAAAGACCAGGGCAGCGCTGCTCTACACCTGGCATCTGGTTTAGCAAGAAAAGGAAAAAATAGAATCCAACAGAACGGCCAGGCAAGCAAGCCCGGCCATTCTTGTGGTCGCCACAGGCTGGGCCTGGAAGGCAGAGGGAGCAGGAAGGCCCTGGGGAGAGGGTGCCTGGGTCACACCAGGCATCAAGGAGAAGGCCCACCTCTGTCCCCTCCCCGTGGAAGACACCACAGGGACTTATCCCCACACGTGCAGCCCAAGTCCCCGCTGAGTGACATGCCAAGGCTGAAGCGGGACTGTGGAACAGTGGCCCGCAGGACAGCAAGACCGAGCTCCCTGCAAAGAGCCTCATCCCTTCATCAATTCCTGGAGATCCCCAGTGCCCCTTCTACCCCAGCCCCCCAAAGACAGAACAAAGTTCAAGTTCACTGCACGACTCTGGTTCCCAAATGGTGCCGCACATTGAAATCACCGGAGGGATTTTTAAAATCCCACTGTGGGAGCTGTGCCCTACATCAGTGCAACCAGGATGCCTGGGAGTGGGCCGGGGGCTGGGTCTACTTTAAAGACCCCCCTTGGGGGCCACTCAGCGAAAGAGCAAGAGAGGCCAGTGAAGTGCCTGCTGCCAGGGAGAGGCAGGGAGAGGCCTGGTGGGGTACCAGGTCAGCATCCCAGGCCAGCAGAGCGGAGCGGTGCTATTACCCACCCTGCCGAACAGAGGTTGGGGGTGACAGATGGCACCCCTGAGCACTGGACTGGCAGCAACCTCCCCTCCCTTTGGCTGGCCATTTCCTCAAATTGTGCTGGTGCCTGCTCTGCCCGCACTGTCCCAGCAATCCAGTCTGGGTCCAGCCGCCAAGCTGGGTTCCTACCGGTGCAGCGGGAAGCTAAGCTGGGTCTGGCAGGAGCAGGACCTGGGCCTGCCGACCTGGGGCTCCAGCCTTCCCCCAGCGGCCCCAGCTCCACGTCAACACCTCAGCCTCCCGGGAAGGAGGGTTTCTGTCTGGGTTTGGTTAGAAAAAAAGGTTCGCGCTGGCACTGCCCGGTCCACAGGCAGCCCAGGCAGGGGCAGAGACGTCCTGCCTCCTGGGCGTCCCGCTGAGCCCATCCCAGGCAGCCAACTTCGGGACCCTTTCCCCTGACGTTGGAAGGAGGCCCGCGAGGGAGCAGGTCTGGGGTCAGGCTGGATCACCCCACCCGGGCCCCTGTCCCCACCTGCGGCGCTGGGCAGCGGCCGGGCACCGCGCTCAGGAGGGAGGAACCCGGTCCCGCCCCCTGGCCCACCCGGCGCGAGGGCGCGTCCTTACCGCTCCGGCCTCGCTGGCTCCGGGGGGCTCGGAGGAGGCGCCCCCCGCGCGGGCGTCGAGGATGCCGGGCGCCAGCGCGTAGAAAGGCGGGCTGGGGCTGGGGCTGGGGGGCAGCCCGGAGTCGGGGCTGTCCAGCAGGCCCTCGCGGCTCTGCTCCCTCGGGCTGCCCTCCATGCCCCGCAGATGTAGGTGGCCCACCATGTCCGGGGCGCGGGGCGCGGGCCGCGGCTCCTCGGGCTCCTCCAGCGCGCCCGGCTCAGGCCTGGCGCCCCGCGGCCCGCGCTGCCGCGCCCCGGCCTCGCCTGGCCGCGCTCCCGCCGGCCCTGCCCCGCCGCCCGCCGCCCGCACCGGCCCGCGCCGCCTTTTCTAGGCGCCGCCTCCGCCCGCCTCGCCCCGCCCCGGCCGCGCTGGCCTCCCCGACCGCGCCTCCGGCCGCCGGCACCCGCGGCGCCAGCGCCGACCTGGGGGTCCTGGGCGTCCCGCGGAAGGCGAGGCTAGGGCCCCTCGAGGTCTCCGGTCTCCCCCGAAGCAGGAGCTTCTCCATTTTGGAGGATCTGCAATTCACAGATCCCACACGCTTCCTCGGAGGAGACCTGTTTCGAGCTCCTCTCCTCCCCACACCTAGCTGCCCACCGCCCCTAACTGGTGCTTCGGGTCGTCTGGACACGGAGGCAAACCCCTGGGCCTTGGGCTGGAAGCCTCGGGGTGCGGGAGGACCCCGAGGTTGGACACACCGGCTGGAAGCCTCCGCCCACGGCTGCCCCGGCCGCTCCTGCATCTCTTCTCCCTTGTCTCCCTTACTGACAAGGGTGTTGCTGATGTGGCCCCTTCCTGCTGTGCTCAAGAGCATGACCCTTCCCTGTCCTCTTTTTTCCCTAACAGATGGCTGGCTGGGGGTCCTGGCAGGCCCCTCCCCTCCCTGCCCCTGCCCAGAGGGTCCAGCCTGTGGGGGGCAGGAGGCTGCAGATGGCTTTAACAAGTAGAGGTGGGGGGGGAGGTCACTATTGTGGCACAGAGTGTAGAGGAGGGGGACAGAAGTGTGGGCTGTCACACCAGTTACATTCCCCCGTGTCTCCCCAGGCCTGGCCAAATCTGGGGACAGGTCTCAGACCACTGGGCCCTCCCCTCATGGAGCGCCCAGTCTGACACACCAGGAATCAGAGGTCAGGGGTTTACCGAAGGCGCTGCCTGCAAGAATAATCAGAGGGACAGTTTCCTGCCAGGGGTTCAGGGAAGGCTTGTTGGAGGTGACATTTCAATATGGGACTTGAGCAGCCAAGGAGAGAGGACCCTCCGGGGGAGGAAACTGTCTGTCCCCGAGTGTCCTTGTTCCTTTTGACTTCCAACTTGCTGCAGTGAAGCCCTTTGGTCCCCGGGGTGCTCTCTGGCCCCCGGGCAGTGCCTTTCTTCTTCAGGTATTCACACCTACCAGGAGCACCCTGGTGACTGCGCCTGCTTGGGGCTCCCCGGGGTCCACATGCCGCTCCCCCTGCGAGGGCTGCCTTGTGGGAGTGCCGTGTGGGGGGCACCCACCCCTGGTGGGAGAGGCAGGACCGCGCCTCAAACGCCAGACGCCTGGTTGGCAGCCCACAGGGTGACTTGAGTGACTGTGACCTCTGACCTATTGGGATCCCCGCTGCAGGCTGGGGCTGCAGTGATTGACGGTGATTGACAGCCAACACTGTAGACGCTTCTCTTTCCCGAGGCAGTGGACGGTCTGCAAATGTCAAAGGGGGAGAAAAGGCCGAAATTTCCATAAATTCGCTTGAGCCTGGGGCTAGCCAGGGGTGGGAGGCTCTTGGCGGTCTCAGAGGACCATGGGGGGGGGCCTGGGGGACGGAACCTCGACAGTGTGACTGGGGTCTCTCAAGATCTGAGCGCCAAGCCGCACAGGTGCTCGAGGGGCTGGAGGAGCAGCCCAGGGGAGGCCTTGGGCTGACGGAGGACTTTGGGCCTCGCCTGCCAGGCGGCACCTGCAGACTCCAGAATGACCTGACTGGCGGGAACGATGACCACTTCCAACGTGGGACCGCGAGAGGAGTGTTAGGAGACACAAAAATCGACCAAAGAGAGAAGACTGTTATTAAAGAGGGGCATGAGGTACCCCTGACAGGGTCCTAGAGGGCATGTCTCTTGCTGGAGAGAAAGAGACCCCTGTGCTGCACACCCGAGGGAAGGGAGATGTCACCTGTTGTCACAAGCACCAAGGGAAAAAGAAAAAGGGAGCGAGCCCCAAGCCACGCCCAGCACCCCAGCCCCGGGGATTTCCCAGGTGATGTGGGGGGGGGAGCTGGGCTCTGAGAGGAGAAGGAGCCCGAGCAGGTCGAGGAGAAGGCATGGGAAGCCCCTGGTTTCGGTGGCCCTGAGGGGTGTCGTGGGGGGAGGGCTGGCGTTCCCACACAGCCTACAAAGGTCTCTGAACTCACATCACTTCCCCTGAACCCAGCTGACCACCCTGACCCTGAGGCCTGCCTGTGAGTTTTATTAGTAAAAGCAGATGGAGCCCCGACCCTCAGAGAGATTAAGCGCCTTGCCTAAGGTCACACAACTAGGAGTGCCACGCTGGGGCGGGGGGATGTCAGGGCAGGAGCAGCTGTCCCCCGCCCGGGTGGCAGTAGATCAGGAGGTAGGTGAGACAAAAGGACCGGGTCCCCAGGCCTGGTCGAATGGCCTTCCGTTTACCTGCAGAGAAACCTCTGCAGGGAGGAGGCCCACTGGGGGAGGAGGCCAAAGAGCCAAGGCCAGGCTGAGTTGAAAGCAAGGACCCTGCTCACATGGCCTGGTGACCTCTCTCGGCTTCTCCTCATCCCTGCCCACTGTGCGGGGGCCACTGGGCAGGGCTGGGCTGTGCACACCCTGCTCGGCAGTTACTGGACCCTACAGGATAATCCCTCTCTTGTGGGTGGAGGCTCCGGGCGATGTCTATACCTAAGGGATTCAGAGGGACATGCAGGGACTTGACTTGGTGTTGGAAAGTGGCCTCCAGGAGGACTTGAAGGTGGAGCAGACAGGGACGGCTGCTTTTCCCATCAGCCCTTACGGGCCACCAGAGCGTCCCATCAAGGTCCCATAACTGCTCAGCCATGAGTTGGGGACTGTGTTCCCACGAGGCCTGGCCTTGGTGTCCAGCAGGAGATGTCCTGTCTGCCCCGGGGAATCGGGTGTCCTCTGGTGGCTGCTCCTGCCCTAGGGACCTCTCCACGTGCCCTTGCTCAGCGTCACTGTGAGCCACAGCGCTCCTGGCCAGATGCGCCTTCAACAGTGACTCTCGGCTCCATTTTTAGTCCTCGGGCCTGAGACCAGCCGGTCTCTGCCGGGCAGCTGGCAACTGGGACAGGGGGCAGACTTGCCGGCCTCCCGCCCTGGGACCTGGGTCCTCAGCGTCCACCCAGGCCAGAGGCCCTCGGTGAGGTCCACCTGGCCCCTGGGCGAGAAAAGCAAAAGGAGTGAAGAGAACCCAGCGGCCCCAGGAGTCTGGACCTGAGGTCCCTGCTGCCCTCCTCCCAGACCTGGCGGCACAGCCGGGCCCCGCCCCTCGCTGCTTCACACTTCGGGGCTTTCAGGACCTTGGAGCTGAAAAGGCCCTTTCTGTGGGTCCCTCCAGCCACATGAACAAAACCCCATTTATGTCCTCGGTGTGCTTAATTAAGGCAGGGCAGGGACCCAGCCGGTGACCGAGTGTCGTAAAGTCGCAGTTCTTCCCATCAGGAGAAGGCTGCCTGCCGCGGCCAGGCGGGCCTCCAGCCAGCTGGGTGTCCTTGGGGAAGACGGGACCCCGAACTTGGGTTGGAGGAGAAGATCGCGAAAACCCAAAGCGCTTCTGCCCCAAGAATCAGTTGTGACCGTGCTGACGCATCCCGCTCCCCCTGTGTGCATGCGTGGGCACGGGCGTGTGTGCGTACAGACGTGTGTGCAAATGTGGGCACAGGCGTGTGCGTGCGTGGGCATGGGCGCCCTGTTTTGCCATCTGCCTGCTGTTGAGGAACCGTTTAAAGTTAGCTGTGGACATCGTGGCCCCCGAGTCCTTCAGCAGAGCCTCCCAGAACAAGGGCGGTCCCCTGAACCCAGCACCGCCCACTAGACGGAGGTCACATGACCCGGGTCTGTCAGATGTCCCCAGCTTTCCCAATAATGTCCTTGACAGCAGCTTTCTTCTTCGCCGAGGCTCAAGCACACAATGTCTCCTTGCCATTGTCGGGGGAGAGGTCACATGGGTCACGTGGGTCTCCAGTGTTTCCGTACCCCTTGCAAACAGAGAGGACCCTTTCATGTCAAAGGGAAGGCGTGCACCCTCTCCATGACAATATAGACACGTCGTCCTGTGGTCCGAGGGGCCATGCTTACACCCATTATGAGGTTTGGGTGTCCTGGCTGCCAGTGTCCTGCCATGTAGTGCAAGCCAGGGGCCACCTGGCCCTCTTCAAGTGACCCTGTGGAAAGTGGGGGTCAGGAAGTGTCACAAGAAAGTGACAAGCTCTGGCCGCAGCTGCTGCTGTGAGTGCCAGCGTCCCCTGCCTCGGACCCAGGGTCGCGTGCCTTCAGCAGCATCCTGAGGTCTTCAAGGCTGGCAGGGTGAAGCCTCAGCCCCCTGCAGCTCCTGTCCCGTGCTCCTGGCGGCTGCTTTGTCCTTCCCGAGGGGCTGGGGCTGGAGTTCCAGCCAGGCCTCCCGCAGGGCACCTGATGACCCGGGTTTGTGGCTTCCCAGGTTAGATTTAGGATGAGGCCTTTGGCAGGGTTCCTGGGGACCTCACGTCAGGGGTCTTGCTATTCTGGCCAAGCTAAGGGTGGTCACGTGCGGAGGTGGCACTCACCACGGGTGTTCGTGCCTTCCTGATTTATCCGTGACCTCTGGAAAGGTGTCTTGATGCCAGGGGACTTAATAGCCTGTGGCCTTGGTCAGGGGGACGATGACCAGCAGCTTCTCCTCTGCAGCAGAGACCACAGAGTCAGCCGACCTGAGACGTGAGAAGTCTGGTGGTCAGTAGAAGACGCTGCTGACCACGGCCACAGCGGGTGGCAGGAGGTGGGGGGAGGGGGCATCCTTTGGAGAAGATGATAGTGATTCTGGAGGGGCCTTTGGTAAGTCCCTGCTGACTCTCAACGCCACCCTGCTGTCCCACTGTTCCTCACACTCCTTGGCTCTTCAGGGTGGGTCTCCCTGCCAGGTTGGGTTTCAGGCTGAGTGCCCGCGTCCTCAGAGCCATCACAGCCGTGCCTGGCACCCGTGGAGAGGGGGCGTCCTCCAAAGAGCTCTCGGCTTTCCAAGAGGGATTGCAGCAGAC